ATGTACACCTTCCTGAGCCAGGCAGAATGCAGTATCTGCGTAGACTTGTTTGCCCTGAAAGTAGATCCAACACAGGCATACTGAAGATTGAAAAGGGAATGATAACAGTAAAAACCAAGTGCCCCCTATGTGTGTGATGTTTGCTACACTAAGCTGGTCCCCTAAATTAAACATGCCATGTCAGGGAAGATACCACCTGAGAGAAAGAGCAGAGTACTTGTACTGCTAGATGATTTGTCCATCAGAGTCTGAGATGCTGACTGAGATTTTAGCATTTGCAGGGAGGGGTGCATAGCTCAGTGGTAGAGCCCTTGCCTAAGATGGACAAGGTCCTGGGTTCCACCCCAGCACTGCAAACAGAATGGGGAATGGAGGGAGAAGGTGCCTGCTTCATTATGACATGAATTTTTGTGGTATTGGGGACCCAACCCAGGGCCTCACATATGCTAGGCAAGTAACAAGCATCTTTTAACAGCTCAGAAACTATAAGCACGTCAGAATTTTTCCTTTCACTTCTTTTAGACATTTTTCTCCGATTTGTGCAAGTTTGTGACTTATAGATGAGTCCATATTTTTGCATCTGTTCTGTAAATCTAAAATTATTTTAGAATAGATTTTTTAAAATAAACTATAGGGGAATATTTTCCATCACCCCACTTTAAGGAAACTTAAGTAAAACTGCAGAAGGGAAATCAAGAGCATTTCTGATGACCAGTCTTATTACACAGGGTTGAAATCTCTCAGTCATATAAACTAATGTCCATAGATTCATCTGAAATTTTTAATTTTTATTTGAAAATACAGGGAAGCAGGACATTGAATCAGGATAAATAAGCAAGTCAGCACCAAGGAAAGCGTGACCCCTGCTTTTTTGTACTCTTATTTTTCTTTTGGTGTACTAGTTCTGTCTTAAGATCTGAGACTCCAACACTGATTCTTCACATGCAGCCTGTTTCTACTTATTGCTCCCTCTGCCTCCGCCAGCCCTTCGTCTGCCTTGACAAACGTGATCATTAGACCTCTGTGGCAATGGAAATATTTAGATTGAGAAATTATGTCAATTTAAAACAGTTTTGGTGTTCAGACCTGTCCTTCAAAAGCCTTATTATAAACCCATATCATTTTAACAAGTTTTATTGACAAGAAGATGTTTTGTTTAGTAACTTGTGTATCAAAATGTAGCTGCATGAGAAGTTGACCTGGGCAGAGCAGTGAAGTCCTCGGATTCTGTTTGGCTCTCTGGGGAATAGAACCAGCCAGCCTCAATCTTGGCCCCCACTCTGTGTGACCTTACGTGGGCCGTTTCATAGTTCTTAGCGCTGGCCCCTCTCCTGTTTTATGGATAGAGATATGTACTTTGTCATATTAAATGAGACGATATATGTACAGTCTTCAGTGTAATGCTTGGAATGTGATGGTGCTCAGTAGATGCTAACTGGTATTGGCAGTCATTTATACTATGGCATATAGTATGTTTTATTCCACTTGCCTGTCTAGTCTAAAATGAATTAAATGTCATAGTCAGTAATATGTCATTGTCCTGTGAGTAACCTTTACTGTTTTTCCAGCCAGTTGTTGTTTATCACAATCCTCTTGTCCCTCTAAATACTTGAAAAATATGTAATTTCAAAATACTTTCCTAATTTATATATAGTATGTTTTGCTAGTCAGGTTCTTAGTGTTATTGTTTTATGAACTTAAATTGCTCCCAGATGAACCATTTATAATGAGCACTCATCTTTGTAGATTGTTCCCAATTTTACTTTTAGGAAATTTTATGTTTAGACAGTTAATAATTAAAAAAAAAAAAAAAACTTAAAATGGCATTATTAAAAAGCAAGGTGCTTTAAATATTGTCATAGTATGTTCATTCACTTGGTATGTTAGTATTGTTCCAGGAGAAACTGGGATCCATGTGTGGAGTGTCTTGTAAGTGTAGTCTGTCTGCTGTCAGGAGCACTGTAACCTGGAGGTCTAAATGCAGCTGTTTGTGTCCTCCACTCCAGACTGTTCCATTCAAAGCCCAGTTCTGAACTTGAAATGGAACCACAGTCTAACCTAGTTATTTCACTCCTCTGTGGAATGAATATATATATATATATATATATATATATATATATATATATATATATATATATACACACACACACACACACACACACACACACACATACCCAAAGGCCTTAAAATCAGCATACTATAGTGATGCAGCCATATCAATGTTTATAGGAACTCCATGCACAATAGCTAAGCTATGGAACCAACCTAGGTGCCCTTCAACAGATAAATGGATAAAGAAAATGGAGTATATATACACAGTGGAATATTACTCAGCCACAAAGAAGAATGAAATCTTGGCATTTGCCAGTAAATGGATGGAATTGGAGACTATCATACTAAGTGAAATAAACCAGTCCCCAAAAACCAAAGGCCAAATGTTTTTTCTGATATGCAGATGCTGACTTACAGTGGGAGGGGTGTTTACTAGATTGGACAGGGCAGGGAGGGGGGATGGGAATGGGAAAGACAGAATGAATTGGACATAACTTTCCTATGTTCATATATGAATACATGATCAGTGAAACTCCACATCATGTACAGCCAAAAAAAATGGATTACAGGTGTATGCTACCATGCCTGGCTGGACAATTGATTTTTGCCAACAGGGAGGAGACAGTTCATTGGAGAAAGAATTGTCCCACCCCCTCTCCCCACCCCTGCCCCCATACTGGGGATTGAACCCAGGGCCTCACACATGCTAGGCAAGCACTCTGCCATTGAGCTATATCCCCAGTCCTTTTTATTTTATTTTGAGACAGGATCTTTCTCAGTTACAGAGGCTGACCTTCAGATCCTCCCGCCTCAGCCTACTGAGTTGCTGGGATTACAGACATGCACCACCACACCTGAGCTTAAGGATTGTCTTTTCTAGTTGCTGGAACAATTGAATATTCATACATAACAGCAAAATGAACTCCAATCCATACCTTGCACTAGATATAAGACTTAAAATAAATGAGAGTTATCAACGCAAAACCTAAAAACATAAAATCTCTGAAAGCACACATAGGAGAAAAAATCTTGATTAGACAAAAATTTCTTAGATCCAGACACAAGTGATTCATGAAAAGATAATTTGGACTTCATCAAAATATGATAATCATTTCTTCGTTGAAAGACATTGTTAAGAATGAAAAGATAAGTCACAAACTGGGAGAAAATATTTGCAAATGACTTGTATACAGACTATATTAAGAACTATGAAAACTCAGTTAATTTAAAACCCCATAAAAATGTGCACTTGAACAGACACTTCACTAAAGAAGGACATGGGTAGCTGTAAGTATGTGAATAGCAGCTCTGCGTCGTTAGCCAGAATACAAACTAAAACCACAGGGAGATACTACTGCACGCAAATTAGTGAAAGTTAAGACATGCTGACAATACCAGGTACTGAGGAGGATGTGGGAAAACTGGAGTGTAATATGCACAACCACTTTGAAAAACAGTTTAGCCATTTAAAAAAAATTTTTTTTTGTACTTGTAGATAGACAGAATGCCTTTATTTTATTTTTTTATTTTTATATGGCGCTGAGGATCGAACCCAGGGCTTCACTCATGCTAGGCACACGCTCTACCACTGAGCTACAGCCCCCGCCCCACTTGAGCCATTTTTAAAAAGTTAGACACATAACATGCCGTGTGACCTCGCTGCATCACTGCTAGGTATTTGCCAAAGAAAAGGAGAAGCATGCGTCCATATGGACTTGTATACAGGTGATTCCTGAGGCTTTATTTGCCCCAAATGGTGTCTGTCAACAAGTCAGTAAACAAATTAGGGGACATCCATATGATGGAACATTACTTACCAATAGAAGGAGCAATGAACTGTTGATATCTGCAGTGACATGAATAAAATGATTATTCTGAAAGAAGCCAGAGTTTAAAAAAAAATAGTATGTGCTTATGTTTACATAAAATTCTGGAAAAGGCAAACTATTGTATAGTGACAGGTCTAATTGCTTAGAGGGCAGTGAGAAAGGTCAGGAAGAGGAGTTCCACAGGGACATACAAATTTCAGGTCATAGGTAAGTTCAGTGTCTTAATTGTAGCAATGATTGTATGGGTTCATGCATGTGCACGGCAAAAGTTTTCAAAATTGTGTACTTAAAATATGTATAGTTCATTGAATGCTAATTATCTCATTAAAGCTAAGGAATGTTATGCAGGGCTCTGCTCTGAGAGAGCCTTGTTAAAAGGTGGATAATACGGGACCCAACTCCTCATTCTCGTGCAAACTTTGGGCTTTAAAAGATGACTAGACACTAGATCAGTGCTTGACTCATCGTTCAATTTCTGTGACTTTTCTTGTCTTGTACTAGATTATAAACTCTCAGTGAGCGAGGCGCCATGTCTGCCATCATTTCACCAAGTCTTGAACTTGGCATGGGTATTTTAACATGAACAGGACCCCAGGGCTGGGGATGTGGCTCAGTGGTAGAACACTTGCCTAGCACGTGTGAGATTCTGGGTTCAATCCCCAGCACCATAAACAAATCTTAACAGTATACAAAATGTTTGGATAGATTTTAAATTAATACAACAGGTAACTGAATTAAGATACTGTTCAATGTGAATAAGGACTTTAAAAAGAACTGAGGAATTTGGCATCCACTCATTTGTCAGTTATGGTATTTACATGTTTAGAATTACATGGGAAATATGTAGAATTTTTCATTGTCTTAAATAATAGTGTCTGTATGTATGAAATGGTCTCTGAAAAGTGTTTCCTATAAGCACTGTAATGTAACTGTCACCCTTAATTCTTTGACTGATTTTAGAATGCAGTTCAGTCCTTGGGAAAATTGCTTATGTCATCAGTGAGGAATGCCACCAAAATAGCTTCTCACTTAAGTTCCCATCCCCAGAGCTAACCCACAGGAGGTTCCGATAAATTCAAAGATTTAATAACTCGTATTTTTCTTTCTCCTTCCACACAGGCCCTCTGGTCCTGGCGGCAGGAGCATGTGGTGGATTCTTGGCAGTCAGCGGTCTGTGGAGCTTTTGCAGGTGCAAAGGATTATATTATACTGGGAAAGACCAAAGAAGGGGAGAAAATGTGAAAATATTAACTATGCAAAAACAACATTCTTTAGAAATTTCAGATTGCTTAGATGAAGAGAGCTTCTCTGGCTGTTTGAGAAAAGAAAGTGTCTTGGGCGGGTGGGGGGGGACCCAGCTGCTCAAGGTGTCTACCTGAAAGACAACCAATTTGTTTTTGACAAATTTTTCTTTTTTCTTTTTATCTTTATTAAAGCCTTCACTCAGGCTCTTGGATTATCTTAAAGATGATTTACAAAGTCCTCTGTGGGAAGAGGCTTTCTGTGGTGCAGGGGAAGCACGCAGCTGCCTGCCTGGAGCAGGGCTTCGGGCTTGAAGCGATCTTTGCAAAAGGCAGTGATTCACGGTCCGTGAGACATGTTTGACAGCATGGTAGATTAACTAGTGTCAGGAGAGCAGAGGCCACTCCACAGCTTACCGAAGGCTGAACTGCACTTGGGTGGAAAATATGGCCATCCAAACATCTGGCCATTTCCAAGACAATAAAGCAAGGGCTGAGTGACAATATGCAGTATTGTGTTATCCGTCACTCAGTCATAGGAGTTTTCCAGTGAGATTTTAATGAGAACTCAGATGCTTTAAAGAATTTAATAAGTAATGCATTTAAAAGCCTCAGAGAGAAATATATTTTGTTGTTACAAAAAAAGGGCAAATTAGAATTAACAGTTGCAATAAAATGAGGTGGAAATTTCCCAGAAAATGATGAACTGTTAGTAGATATAAAGCTGGTGAATTGACAAGTAGGTAGATTTTGGGTGTTGACTTTTTTGGAAAATAATTCTTTTTCAGTTTTCTTAATGGTTATTGGATTGGTTTTTTTCTTATAGCTATTAGAAAAACAGAAAACATACATCTTATAGGATTCTTTATTAATATTTAAACCCATTTGACTTGTAGATTATTTTGTCTCTAGATGTGACATCAACCCAGATTGATTATGATGGGTAATTGTTTCCATGTGACACCTGGTCATTAGCTGTGTTAAAGGAGTAGGTGGTCTTGATTCATTCCCAGAGGTCAGGGGTCTATCACCCAGCCACAAAGAACAGTGTGCATTTTTGTTGACTGCTTCCCGGGCCTGGGGACAGAGTGAGCATTATGGAAATTTAGTTACCCTGAATTAGGAAGGCTACTTCTTAATGCTAACAATAGCCTAAAACTTCCATGTGTTGAAGTGAGTACATATTCTGTGGTCACGTTCGTTAAATAAGTAATTCAAAGATCTGCTTGCAGATACTTTGATATTGCATGTCCAGGAAATTGCCATTCATTACAGTTAGTTCCTTTTTTGAATAATACTCTACACTAAGTGCTCCCATTTGACAGAGGAAGGAAAGTTTAATATGTGTGCTGTGGTAGGAGCCTGCCGCCCCAGCTCAGGAGGCTCCCTTAAGGAGCCCAGAAACTCGCTCCCAAGCCAGCCGAGGGCACCCGGATGAGGGGCAGGGGAGTAAGGTGCCCAGAGTCTTGCATCTGACTGACCAGGCAAACCTCTAGGTGCCCTAACTCTTGAGGGAGAATGGGGAGCTTTCCTGAGCACCAGTTCCCTTACCTGTAACTAACATGGGGTCAACCACTCAAGGAATTTCCTCAGGTTGAGTGAAATTCTGTACATGTTGACACATGGTGATCCATCAGACTCAACAGCTGTCAGAGCTGTTACTCTTTCAGTCAGAACAAGCAACACCCAGAAAATGAAAAGCTATTGTAATGATTCATCCTTTCAATTACATTGAAAGACTAATGTCCTGTATGCTAAAGCTACTACACAGAAGGATAGTCTCTCACAGCTTATAGATTTAGGTGAGGTTCTGATAAGTGAAGGTGTTCAGTTTGTCCAAGACCTGCAAAAAAATCTGTTGGAAACAAATCCACATATATTAAATATGGTTTTTGTTTATATCCCTCTTTCTGTTGAAATTTTATTTGGCACGAATGTTGGTCCAGAAGAACAAAGTTACTATTTTAAATCACAGCTGATAAACTCCATTTGGAAACCACCCAGGCCGTGAGGAAGCCATAGTAAGAGCTGGTTGCCCTGTAGGTTGAGTAAGGGCTTACGCAGGCCCCGATGCCTCACCTCCAGACTCCTTACCTTACATGGCCATAAAAGCATGATGAGACTCGCCCTCGAATCAGAAATCAGAGTTCTCCTTGTGTGCTTTTCCAAGTTTAAATGGGCTGAATTGTTGCCAGTGACCCGCTCTCTGCCACCCTTGGCGCTCTTCCATGCTTGTTTTATAAACTGGTTGGTGCAAATATCCAGAAATGTCTCTTGAGATTGGAGGTGTTGATGGCTTGTCATGCTCAGAAATTCCCTTGGCTTCTGGTCAGGGGTTAAGCTAGGAGAAAAAGGGACTTTGCCAACTTCCTCACTTCTGGCTAACTTGTAAACATAAAGCCATATGCTATCTGAGTAATTAGGACGTTTACCACTCTTGTTTTATTTGGTACTCTAATGTTTTTGATCAATTTCTTATAATAAACACCTTCTTATATTCTCTAAGAAGAGGATTGTGGGGGAGAGAGCTGTCTCTCAGCAGGCTTGACATTCTTATTTGGGTAACAAATGACAAGGCCTGGCACAGTCTTTAAAATGCACACAAACCACACTCTGCACACTTGCTTGGAGATCACACTGCTGTAGGCAGTGCTCTGTTCCTCCCAGACTGAGCCCAGAGAGGGAAGGGGAGCAGGAAGGGCAGCAGGGCCCCCTGGGGCTTGTGCTTTCCTACCACAGCCCTGCCACATCCTCACGCAAGATGGGTGATCACACTCCAAGCCTGTTGTAGGAAGGTGGCTCCTTTGACCACAAAGGTCAAGGTTGCATTTGTTCCTTGAGGAAGAGTGAGAGGTAGTTTTATTGTCAAAGTCTAGGTTACCCTGAATGTGGCACTTACAAGCAGGTACCGCCTGAGGTTCAGTAGAGCTACCCGAGGTGGAGCTCCTAGGAATGCACAGGGAATGGCTTCACACGTGCTGTGAGCCTGAGAGCAGCCCATTCTTGGGTCCCGGGGAGTTATTTCCCGTCTGACATGTTAGCGTGTTCTTTGTGTTTTTTACCAGTAGCTTACAGCTCCCTTAAGTCAAATGCAGAAAATAACTACATTTTAACTGAAAGTCCACACCCTACTGTCTACCCATTACAACCGGCTAGTCTGCTATTTTATTTTCACAAGTTCTTTTTGCAGCTTCTCAGAAACATTGTGAGGTCTGTTAGTTGAAGCAGTCTGATGTTTGTGTACATTCAAATTGATTTATTAATTGACTTACATAAAACATACAGTTTCCATCATGGCAGTAAAATTAAGGCCTATCAAGGCAAATGTGTTTCTGTGTTTAACTTTTCTTTCAATTACTTTTATGAAATATAAATCTCTAAGAGAATATTGGCAGGCGTCCACAGTAAAGGGTGGTAAACCTTCGCCTGTGGCCAGAGTGAGTTTGATTTGCAGTATCCAGATTATTAAATTTTCCTTGTCAAGTTTTAGTACTTTTTGAATTGGTTTAGGACAGTTTGTGAACATTTTCAAATAGGAAGATGAGTTTTAACCATCAGACAAATCTTACTTCGCTTATCCTACACAGGGAGCCGTTAGGTAGTGGGGAGAGCGCAGCTTTTGGAGTGAAGATATGCTTTTCAGCCATTGGCAGATGGGAATGTAATACCTGGGCCTGAGGCTACCTAGGCAGCGACAGTGTGTGGTGTGTGTTTGGAGGGCTGTAGACAGGAAGCGGTACGTGCAGATTAGTGCTCCTGTCCCTTCTTGTGCTATTTAGAGGACGAGCTGACAGGTTTTTTTTGTTTGTTTGTTTGTTTTTTTTTGGTTTGGTACACTTTTGAAGCCATAATAAGAGCTGTCATAGTAAGTGCCTACTGTGTGCACTGGGCCAGAGGTATGAAGAAGAATCACTCGTCACCTCTGCCCTCCTGGAACAGAGTGCTTTGGTCACTGCTGTGCTGCACGGTGCAGATGAGGTCTCTGAGGCAATGGAAACCAGTGGCCATCAGTGCTGCTTCTGGAGTGGCCTGAAGAGCAGGTGTCAGCTCTGCACGGAGTCCAGCCTCCACAGGCCGCTTTTCTCTCCAGGCTCCCCATCCAGGGCCTGGCTCCCTCAGAAAGTGCTGTAGCCAGGGAATAAGTGATTAAGCTAAGGCCGGTCACCTGCAGAGCAGGGACTTCAGCCTCCGTCTCCTGACCACGGAGAAGACCAGTCTCCAGGTAGGTCTGCCCGCCAGCCCTGCCGCCGGTCAGGGGAGCTGCTCTGGAGTGGGAAGCGGGGCAGGAGGGGTCTGTGGCCTTTGCTTCCTTTGTGTCTTAGGGTGTTTGTTTTGTTGTTGTTTGGGATGGATGTGAAGCTTTTCTGGACTCTATTCTAATAATTAAAAGTATATCTGGTTCTCTAGGGCACAATGTATGCTTTAGGACTCGGTCCACAAAATTTGAAAATATCTGAGGTTTCTTAATAAGTTTCTGAATTTCAGGCAACCTTGGGATTTGGATCCAAGTAACCCACACTTTCCTAATCCTAAAGAGGCCGCAGCACAGAGCAATCTAATATTCCTGTGAACTGGCACTCCCCAGCCCCAAGGCATGTGACATTCAGGGAAAACTCAAAAACAGGGCTGAACACATGGATGGGCCACCTTGGCACACTTCTGTCATAATAAATGTTACCATAGGAAGGAGGGTCTCCATCATGGTCTTATTTAGAAAGATATTTGGCAGAGACCAGATGGCCCTCTTGTCTTCCAGCCACAGCAGTTGGGGTCGGGTAGAGCTGTTTCTGGACCCCCTTCCCAGTGTTCTCTTCAGCCCGCCCGGCTCTGGGCAGCCGAATCTTCTGAAAGCCCTTTAGGATTTTTTTTTTTTTTTTTTTTAGACACATGACAGTACAATGATCTTGACATTTCTTTAGGATTCGTTATTTCTCTCTCCTTCAGGTTTCATATGTCTTTGTACCACATGAAATAAAATATTGACATCATAAACTGTAGGGTTTTTTAAAGTCTTTCGATTTCTGTGCCCTCAGAAACAGACCTTGTTAAAATCTGTGAACAAGTTGGCCACAGTGGCATTCAGAAAGGGAACACAAGAGAAGGGGTAGGAAGGCAGCCCAGAGCTAGAATGCCACTGCAGCCTGAGGACTGGAGGCTGCAGATGAGCCTGGAAGGGCAGTTGCTCCTCTCAGCATGTTACTAGAAGCCAGGGGCATACAGGGAACTGTACCCACTTAACTTGAAGGATTCAGCCATTTACACCCTAAATCTCACATGATACACAGAACTCCGTTAATTTTATATTATCCACAGAAGAAATGATAGAAGCATTTGGAGTCCATTTAAGTGGCCAGTGGAAACATGGCCCCCGAGAATTGTTGGGGGCCTTGCACGTCCCACTATCTGTGGGTACCTGGCCGTGTACGTCATATACAAAACCAGTTCGTTGGCTGGCCTTTGAAGGAGCCGGGTGTACCGGAGGGCACTGTTTTGTTCCCTTAGTGGGGAAGGCGTTCACTTTTACTCTTTTAAGTGCAGTTCTCCATCACTGCAAAAGAAATGAAGCATGTGGCTTGAGATCTTGCAGGTGTGCATCCTGCTCCCGAGTGCTCGAGTGCACGTCAGGATGAAGAAATGGCTTTGGCAGGGTTTTGAGGAGTTATGAAGTAACGATTATGAAATCGCCATCTGGTGCAGTCCCATCTCACTGTTTGCTGGTTTTCTCTATACAGGTGGCTTTGCAGCTGCAGTCACCACCCCTCTGGATGTGGCAAAGACAAGAATCATGTTGGCAAAGGTAAGTAGAAAATAATGTTGTAGAGACACCATACCTGTTGGTGCCAGGTCTTGCAGGTATGTGAAGCAAATAAAAGCACCTGTGAATCATTCTTAAAACTAACATGGAAGTCCCAATATCCATGGTGATCACTATGACACATGTGTCCTGTGGCGTTTCTCATCTTCTGGTCATTTTCACCTACATTGTGGAGGTAAATAGGTCTGAAGGCCTTAGCCTTGAATCTTATTTTCAAATCTGTTTTTCCTGGTGACAGGCCTAAGGCCCTGAGAGGCTGATAGCTTCATACCTTGTGGCAGCTAAGCTGTGGGCTCTGAACCTGTGCAGTGTTTTAATTAGATAAAACCCTTATCAGAGTTGCTACAAAACAAACAAAACTGTAAAAAAGAAAAATGGTTGAAAGAAGAAAAAGCTAGACAGAGTTCAAGAAATGCCATACGAATAACAGATCTGGACCAAAACAGTTTTTTTTTTTTTTTTTAAAGTCCCATCCTTGTGAAACAGATGTGAACAGAACAGAGCTGTAGCATTTAGGTGGAGAGGACCAAACCTCGGAAAGTGGCTCAGGTTTAAGTTGAACTCGATGCTCTTTCCCTTGATATTTTTTCCCCTTTCCCCTCATATCCTCTTATATGTAATTTTGTATAACAATGAGGGTCACCTTCCATTTCCATGCAATTTCCCTTCAGTGTGTTTCGTGGCCAGTTGGGCAGCTTTCTTAATTACACTGTTTACTCTGGTGACTCCCGTCCTCCTCAGATCAAGTTACTTTGCTTCCAGTCTTTCTCCTATTAAATAGTAATGTGTGTCAGCTCTGAAAAGCCAGCCCCCTGGGGTGGCCTGGGCCACATCACTGCTTGCCCGTGAGACTGAGTATAAGCACTGTCAGGGGAGCGAGACCCAGTCCTGATTCCGGATCAGCTCTGTCCTGCGTGAGGGTGGGGATGAGGCACGCATTTGAGGACATCTGGGAGTCGGCGACCTTAGGCACAGGCAGCAGGTAATTAAGTTTTTTGTCTTTTCCTGCAGGCTGGTTCCAGCGTAGCCGGTGGCAACGTGCTTTCTGCCCTGCGTGGGGTCTGGCAGTCACAGGGGCTGGCAGGGTGAGGACAGCGCGAGTGCTCAGCTGCCTCGCTCCGCTCCACCGGCCTGGCCCTTCCTATCTGCCTTCCACAGGACGGACCTTTCCTTTCTTCTGCTTATGGTTATGTCCTGGTCCAGGTCCTGTTTTTCACATCGTACAGGATGTTCTGTTTGCTGTTGCACATGTGAAAAAATAACATGGCTCCGTCGAGTCAGTGCAGTGTCCTGGCCAGATGCTTCTCAGTCTGGTCCGTCCTGGTGTTGGATAGCATTGACTGTGCTGCTAGCAGGCCAGCATCTGGGCTGCAGCCCCCAAGAAATAAGCTCCCGGTTGCACAATGCAGAAATGCAGGAGAGTGAGGGGAACATTGTTGCAAGAAAGCATTTGTGGTTTTTGTACTTTTAACTTATTAGCAGCACATTCTAGTCATACCTCCATGGGGTCATTTCCTGTGTTGATATGCGATTTCTATCATTTGTTGTTTTGTTGGGAGGTGATTTTGTTGTGAGGCAAACATAAGTGTGCTCCGCAGATCTGAATGGCGTCGCCTGACCCCCACCCAGGCTGTGTGGCAGTCTGTCCCTCCTAGGCTGCACGCCACACCACCACCTCAGCGAGTGCTGCAGGCAGCTGTAGGAAATAGCCGCATCTCCAAACATTTAAACATCAAAAGGAGCAATAAAAATACTAGGTGCTAGTGCTTTTCCAGCTGCATCGTAATCTCCTGGGACCACCGCCACACTGGGTCCCTGCCAGCGCTGCCTTGTAGCGCATGACTGTACTTTCAAATTTCCCACGCAGTTGAGAGTCCTTGTTCTGTATTGTTGGCCAAGCACCTCAGGCTTTTTAGCTTCACATCCCAAACAAACAGGCTCTCTCTTCAAGATGTTGTTCCAGCATTCCTTTCACAATATAAATTTATGAATCTTTATAAATATTGGGATCTTACAAATAAGTCAAAATACGACTTTCTCTTAGGAGTCCACTGCCAGGGTTCATAGACCAGGGTGTTACCTGGAACCCCAGCTACTTGGGAGACTGAGGCAGGAAGATTGCAAATTCGAGCACAGCCTGGGCAACTTAGTGAGACCCTGTCTCAAAATAAAAATAAGAGAGATGCGGTGTGGCTCGGTGGTAGAGCACCCCTGGGTTCAATCTCCAGGACCGGAAAAAAAAAAAGCAAACAAAACAAAACCAAACCTAAGCAGTGCCAGAATTTATAGGCAAAGAAATGGTATCAAAAACAGGCCAAGGGCTGGTCTCTGTTCTTGAGCCCAGTTTCAGTCCTGAAAAGGTACTGTGGCTTTCCAGCTCATCTTCTGCACACCCTTGAAGTGAGAGGCTGTAGTTAGTGTGCAGTTAGTGTGCCTTGAGGAAGGTGCCCTAGGCAGCAGAGGTGTTCACTTAAGATGTCCTGTATTAATACGATAGAAGACAACAAGAAATTTGACCAAAAAACAAATGAAAGGAAAGATACTGGCCCTGGGCATGGTCAGCCCTGAGGGTGGCTGAGCCTGCTTGCTCTGTCCTGTTTCCACCCACAGCCCAGTTCGCCAAGTTCCCACCTGCCTCCCCCTGGGGTGAGTGCTGCTGCCCTCTCGTGGCGGGTTCAGGTGGTGGCCACCTTCCCTCCGTGTAGGCAGGCTTGCACAGGAGATTCTGGCATGTGTCTGGAATGTGTGCCCTAGAGCAACCGTTTCCCCTAGGTGAAAGTCCTAGGTTATGAAGCAGCAGCTGGGAGTCCTGCCTGCTGTGGACCCGCCTGCTGCCTCTTCTGTTGGTCAGCTGCTGTGGTTGTCCTTTATGTAATAATGGCTGAAGCTGGGAGCATGGTTTGTGATCTGTGGTCCCTGGACCACACCCTTCCCTTTGGCTGGGGTGCTCACATTCAGATCACTTTTAAGGCTGCAATTATGTCCTTAGATTCAGTTGTCATTTTGCGAAACCATAAACTACCTCCAAATGCCTCTGACCAGGGGCAGCAGAGCTTGTTAGTGGCAATCGTGGGACTAGATACTGGCTTAGAAACCAGGAAGATGGTGAGGGAGGAGTCAGTGGCCAGTGTGGTTTCCCGTGCCTTTCTCCCCAGAGCCCTTCTTCTTTGCAGGGCAGGACCAGGGAGATGAGTCCATTTTCAAGCCAGGACACAGTGGCCTCCAAAGCAATCATTCAGAGTTTCTGCCCTACCACACACCTCATGCAAAACCTATGTGCATGATGCTGAGCTGAGTGTCTTTTGATCTTCTAGTGAATTTTTATGTTGCCTTCAGGCAGTAAAGGAGGATTTCTTTTTTTAATGTGTAGTATTTTATTTAATAATTTAAACCTGGAGTTAGCTAACTAAAAAGTGCCCCCTTTTCCTCAGAGGTGTTAAATGCTGTCCCGGGGAGGTTGGTGGACCTCTCTGGTTAGTGCAGAAGGGAGCAGCCAGGGGCTGAGGGCATCCAGCAGGGATTCCTTCCTGTCAGCCACCAGTGGCTCATCACGGGGGTCTCCCCATATCTTCAAAATGCACAGCTGCTATTGGCACAGGAGGTTCAGCTTCCTGCCCTAGCCCCAGGTGTCCTCACTAGTCTACTAGCATAGCCGCCATTTCTGGTTTTGTTGTTTTTCCTGTGAACAAAAGTACTCCTCTTGGTAAAAGGGTCCAGAGGCTATAGAAAAATGGGCAGGGCAGTCTGTCACCTTCACAGCAAGCAGCTGTTGGCCTCCCTCCCAAGTTCTTTGGTCACCACGTGGTCACATGACTTGTTTTTTCAATACCTACATGTAAATATTTTGAGTGGTGCCTGTGGCCTGCCTCGTCCTATCAGCTGCCTGCAGTAGACCGCGTTTTTACGGCTGTGATCCAGGGAACCACACCAGGGTCACTGCAGCCTTTCTTTTCTCAGCAGCAGTGTCACTGTGGACATACTTGAAGAAATACCTGTGTGACCAGGGGAGGTTTTAAAGAATGACCCCTGGAAGGTTCCCAGGGCCAGCTCTTGTGCCTGAACTATTCACAATTGCACGGGTGGCCCAGGCCCAGGGACTATATGCGTGATGCTGCTCCCCCGCCCCCCAAGCCTGTTACCCTTTCATGTCTGGTATTAAAAGAAAACATCCGGGATCCCTGGAGGGTCTCTGAGCACAAAGCGAGTGAGTGATGGCAAGAGCTGCCCTCCCTGAGGGTGACCTCAGAGGCCAGCCTGGCCTGGGAGTCAGTCCTGGGACTCCTTGTACAGGGGTCCTCTTCTCCGTCTCAGAAGCTCCTCAAGAGCGCGGCTGTGGGACAGGCGCCCTGCCTTTGCCTGGTGCTCAGAGGACCCTGCCTCCCCCTGGGGTGCTCAGGGGTAAGCCGGTGTCCCGCCACAGCCGCCCGCGGGCAGCTGGCCCAGCTCCCAAAGCTACTGGGGATGTCCTTGAGGGCTGTTCCAAAAAGGGCCACGCGGGGCCTGATGAGCAGGTGCTGAGCCACGCACGCCGTGGGTGGGGGTTCAGCCAGCTGGACACAGGCTCACTGTGACTGTCCTTTCCTCTAGGTTATTTTCGGGTGTCTTCCCTCGGATGGCCTCCATCAGCCTGGGAGGGTTCATCTTTCTGGGTGCCTACGACCAGACTCGCTGCCTGCTGTTGCAAGTGGGCAGAGAGGGTTCCTAGCGGACACCACTCGCGCACATCCATGAAGAAGCGGGAGCACGGAACCTGTGCTGAAGCCCAGAGCTGCCCTCACTGTGACCCTGAGGCCATGGTACCATGGTCAGGCCGGCTGCAGTTGTCCTCAGTGTGCCACAAAGAAGAAAGTGCGTCATGGTGGGACTCTGGAGGGACCCTCAGAACCCTTAATAAATGCGCCTGGCAGTGCCAGGGAGCTTGTGTTTGATCTGTATCTGATCTTCCATTTCCTGCCACCTGATGGTGGAGGCCACAGACGGCAGGATGGTTACAATTTGAAAAGAATGACAAGATGGGGGGAGGGGTTGTGCGTGTGGGTGTTTGTCCCTGGGGTCAGTCCCCGTGGTGGAAGGTTAGGGCTCTGTTCAGAAAGCACCCCCCCCACCCCTGCTCAGTCACTCTTCCTGGTAACCAGGGGCTGTGTCCAATGACCCTCAGGTGGCACCTCCAACAACACATGATCCTAGTATTTTATAGAAGTATCTGGTGACCCTGTGGTGTGTGAGAGGCAGCGGGCATCTGCAGCCCAGGGGCTAAATGGGGGCACGCAGTCCCTCAGGAAGGCCGAGCCCTGCTCCATGGCTCTGCCTCCAGGCTGAGACGGGGCCTGGGCCAGCGCTGGGGACAGCAGGGCTTCCTTTTTCTTAGTGGGGTCATGGCCTACAGTTGCAAGCTTATCCCTGGAAGGCGCACAGATGAGCTGGAAAGGTCACCATACTTGGGGATTTTAGGGCTTGACTAACGAAGTCCACGTGTAGAAAAATTCAGAGAGAAATCTTAGGAATCTAGCAGTGTCATGTCTGCCCTGGAGCCACAGAACATGATCCTGCCTTGCCTAAATTTTCCCGTTTGGGGAAAAATATTAAAAGCAGAGCGACTGCATTGACCAGGGAATCTCTGGAAAGGAATGAACGCGCCCAGCCATACGCTCAACACTTATAAATGAACCTTTATTAAAGACACATCAATGCCATTTGTTAGACACTTCAATATTTTACATGTTTTCAATGTACATTGTACCAAAATTTCTATAAATAAATAACTTTGTACATAAAAGTAATACTTCCTCTTTCACATTGCCTCTCAGAAGCAGCAAATTCACATATTTTGTGGAAGTAACATTTATCAGTTAACCGTTGAGGACAAAACTAAATGTGCTTACCTTCTGGAACAATGATGACCTCTGACAGGAACATCTGACACAGGTAGCCATTTGGCTAATATCTCCCTTCAGCTTTTTGGCTAAAGAAATGTACTTTGAGTTTTTTTAAGGACCTTATTTGTTTCAATGTAATTTTCAGTGAATTACACATTGGCACTCACAAGACGGTTAGCTACAGGTCTCAAAAGTGCAAACACACCCAGATCTAGGGCTAAATCTGACGAAGTCCATGCCCAGTCCCCGCTGTGTGAGGAGAGGGCGTGGACGGGCCTGCTCAGGCTCCTCAGTAGACATGAGCTAGCCCTGGAAAGTGAGAACTTAATCTTTTTTACCCCCAATGTAATATTATATTGGCAGAATTAAAACGTCACTATTGAAAAATCCACAGGTACCAACACCAGCAGCCTTTGCCTTAATAAAAAGCCTCAGCTAACAATCTGGCGACACGGACAAGACCACATTTGCTTTTAACAAAAAGTGAGCTTCAGAGAAGGGAGAAAGGCCTACTGTCCTGACCCATGGCTTGTGGTGGATTAGCAACCTTCACCCCTCAAAGAAGCAGCCTCCAGGGAAAAGCCCCTCACGGCAAAGGCACATTGCAGGAGCCACCAACGCAGGCCGAACGTGACTGCGAAGGGCACACAACACCAAGGACTCCCCGTCCTTCCAAACCCACACAGGAGCCTCGGGAAACAAATGTGGCTTTTGTCTCTAAATTCCCACCATGCACTAAGGCATCAGAACTATTACCAACCCCCCTCCAAGGAAACAGCAACCTGATAGGAAAATAATATTGTCAAAATTGTATAGTTCTGTTGTTAACCATGCACTAAGGATTAAAATAGCCTCTGTCAAAGATATATAATATATAGGAAATCTCTGGAAACTCTTATGTACAACCGTATCAAATACTTTTTCTGCCTTTTGTACACAAATAGCCTCTTGCATTTCTGTGCTTCAGATGCGAGTCCTCTGCCCGGCTCATGCTCCACACGGAAGTGACAACTATGTACAGCTCAGCGACGCTGACCCCAGGCCGCCTCTCGGCCTCTCCTGCCTCTCCTTCCCGTGGACACTGGTGTGACAAGAGCTGAGGTAGACAGAGCCTAGCTTGTGGGCGCCGACAGCAGTGGTCCCCTCCGTTTCCCAGGGAGCTGTCCTGTCAGTGGTGTGGACTCTGGACTGGAGTCACACGCCTGGGGGAGGTGGCCATTGGAAAGGAGCAAGTGCTGGGCTTCGCAGGGGACAGCAGGAAAGGCCAAGGAGGCCTCCGGGAGCTCCGTGCTGCCTGAAGGGAACGCAGGGCAGGGCTGCAGGTCTGCGGGGTCCGCGTCACACAGCCTCGCTAGAGTCCAGGCGGAGCCCCCTGGGGAGAGAGAAGGCCGTCAGAGCCGAGTTCCAGCATGACCAGCTGTGGCAGCCAGTGCAGCTGCCAGGGAGGCCAGGAGGACAGTAAGGGATCACCTTTTCCATCTAGGGACACCGCCGGCTTCCTCAAGGATGTCAGCATTCTGTCGTGGTTGCTGGGGTAGAGGGACCCGTCCCCGGCCCCACAGTGAGGATGATGTGGAGAGTCACCTCGGTCGCCCTGGCTGGGATCCTGGCCACGCAGTGCACTTGGCTGTGTGCTGTCCCTACATGTGGGCTGAGGGTGGGGGGCCTGCTCCTTGGAGTAACTGTCCACGTCAGCATTGCAGTCACTGCACACCAGAGGGCCACTGGGTTCTGAAGGAGAGATGGGCCAGGTCAGAGCCACCCCCACAGAACAGGCCGCCCACCTGCACCCAAGTGGGGTCCTGCCCCCCGGCCCTGCAAATGCCCCCTCCCCAAAGACCTTCACCGAAAAGGCTGGGCACACGCCACGCCGTTAGTGGAGATGGGGTCCTTCATGCTCACATGCCCCAGATTAAGCTAATCTTATACTTAGAGAATGTAGTCACGCTACTGTGATCACAGACAAAAAAAAAAAATAGAAAAAAGAAAAACCCCAACAGTTGAATTAGGTACCATGCAGGGTTAAGAGTTTTCTGAACAATTAGAAATTTAACCTCAAAACAGCCCTGGTGAACAGATACTAAAACCCTCTATGTTGCTTATTATTCTGGAAAATTTTTGCTCAGGTTTACTGTACCATAAATAGTAACTAAGAGACACACTCTTCTAGAATTAAAAGGGCACCAGGCCAGAGCTTCCTGTTTATATACTAAATACCAAACTCAGAGAGTGCTAGACGGAAATGTAGGCGTCTCCTCTCTTCATTTAGTGAGTGGGTCAACACAGATCTTGATTTCAAAAAGGCATTGCTTTTCCTGGTGGAAGCATCACCTACCCATCTTAGGTGGACCAGGTGTCCCAGTGGCTTTTTCTGTCACTTTCCAGGGCTCTTTACTGTACCCAACGCAGAGCTTGGGCTGCCTCCGCGTGATGCTGTGGACATCAACCTCTGGGAAGAGGCCTGCATCTCTCAGACACACACCTGCAACAGATCCCCGGGTTAGAAACTGCAGAGGACGTCTCAGTGGGCCTGAGGAGCAGGACGGGTGGGGCTGCTGCTGTAGTCTATCAGTGGTGGGTTACCACTGTGCCACCACGAAGCTGGCAACGGGCCTGTTTCTAGTACCACTTCCCCAGCAAGCAGCCCTTGAGCAGCCATGTTAGAGGAGCAGCTGTCTCAGGCCGGCCTTCAGCTCAGCAAGCGCTCACGGATCTCCCACCAACTGAAACAGCACCCCCTGCACAGAGCTTTCCCTGCGAGTCTGGAATACAGAGCAGGTGTGGGCACTGCCCCTGCACTCGCATCCCTTGGTACCTTCGTGGTGCCAGAGCCCCACACAGATCCCAAAATCCAGGGATGCTCAAGTCCCTTGTATACAATGACACACCATTTGCACATAACCTAAATACACAGTCCATTGTAAGTCACCTCTAGATTAAGCATCGTGACTAGTAAAACGTAACTTTGTGTACACAGCTGTTGGACTGTGTCTTTAGGGAATAATGACAAGGAAAAGAGGGCTGCCTATTCGTCACCTTCTCTGCCCTGGATATTTCTAGTGTGTAGGTACTCGAACCCACAGATACCAAGGGCCAACTGTGCAAGCAGGAGCTTGGTTTCAGGGCCTGGGGTGTCCGTTGCAGCTGTTTCTGACAACAGTCCTGTCTTATCCCTACTGGGAGGCTTACTGCTAAGCCCAGATGGTGACTTTCCTGAGAGACAGGATGTTGAAACCTCTGCCGAGAGTGCACAGACCAGGACTGAGCTGAACAGCAGACGCCTGGGTCGGCAGCCGCCTCGCTCACCTGACGCTCCCTCCCCATCCAGTGCCAGACACCTGAATAGGGAGCTACAGGCCACCTCCACCTACGGGGTCAGTCACCTAGAGCTCCACCTCACTGTCAGAGGCCTTACCGTTGCTCTCGATGTGCCCGTTGGCCCGATGGCCACCCTCAGTCCTGACCACAGTTTCTTGCCGGTCAGAAAGGGTCCCCTGAGAAGAGAGGTAGCTTGGAACATCTGGTGGCACAATGGTTTCATCTGCAAGGAGATAAGACAATGAAACATCAAGGTTCAGCGACAACAGATGCAGATGTGCATTCACCGTCAGGCCCCAAACAGGATCCCCTGGCAACAGCCATCGAGGCTGCGCAGAGGCCAGGTGGAGTCAGTGCAGGTAGAAGGCCCTCCCAGACCAGAGCCGAACCTGAGCCCAGATCAAAAGCATGTGAGACCACAAAAGACGGGGAAGAGTGACAGGAAGGGAGACAGAACTAACAAAACCACAGCACTGTGAGGTGTCACAGACAATCCACCTCCGCTTACTTACGAGGAGGACGTCAGCAGGAAGTTCTTTTTTTTTTTTTAGTTGTCAATAGACCTTTATTTTATTTATTTATATGCTGTGCTGACGATCGAACCCTGTGCCTCACTCCTGCCAGGCAACTGTGCTACCGCTGAGCCCCAGCCCCAGCCCCAGCCCAAGACAGTTCCATTTCTGGCTCTGCCCTGAGTATGAACCCAGTGTCCGCAGGACCGAGGCTTCAGTTCTCCAGAACCACATTCCCAGAGGTCCTGGAGTTCCCAGAGCACAGGAGCTCTTGATGAAGAGTGTGGACCTGGCTTCTCCTGCCCTGGAAAGGAACGGCCACGGTGCCCACCTGTGTTGGTGACGCTGTACTCCTCGCTCTTCTTCCTGGTTTGGTAGATGATGCACACCCACACCAGCGACGTCAGGACGATGCTGCACACCACGGCGATGGTGAAGATGCCCACGGTGGTCCCGTCCTTCCTGCAGCCAGGCGTGGGCAAGATGCTCAGCTGGCTGTGCGCGCGCTCCGTGCCCAGCGTGTTGGACATCTCGCAGGTGTACTGGCCCGCGTCCTCCACCACCACATTCTGCACCACCAGCAGCTGGTTGCCCGGGGTGAAGTGGTGCCTGTCAGTGAGGCTCAGGGGGCGGTTCCCCTTGAGCCAGGTGATGCGGGGGGAGGGGCTGCCGGTCGCTTTGCACTGGAGGGCCACAGTCTCCCCCACAGACACCACGCGGTCTTCCAAGGGTACCACCAAGGACGGGGTCTCTGCAAGAGATCAAGAGATGGCACATTCACTCTGGGGCCTCAGTGCTGTGGGTCTGCTTGGTTCTCTAGACATGGCACAATCCCACCTGAGGGCTTCCATCAGAACGGCAAGCTTTTCAGAAGATGGCCGATCTCTGGTCATAAAGGCTCCTGTTCCCAAACTGTCCTGTGTCCCTGTTCTTGACTAAGACCACACCCCTCCTGCATGCTCTTTGGTCACCAGTTGCTCAAGGCTCTGGCATTGCACTGGCCTTTAGAGATAGGAGCCAGGGTGGTGGCCCATACCTGTCATCCCAGCAGCTTGGGAGGCTGAGGTAGGAGGATCTCGAGTCCAAAGCCAGCCTCCACAATTTAGCAAGGCCCTAAGCAACTCAGTGAGACCCTGTCTCTAAATAAAATACAAAATAGGGCTGGGGATGGGGCTCAGTGGTCGAGTGCCCCTGGGTTCAATCCCCAGTACCAAAAACAAATTTATTTTTTAAAAAGAGGAAAAAAATCCTAAAAGTAGCCTCAAATTTCAAACAGTAGCAACGCCTGCCTGTAACCCCCAGGGTCCACAGAGGAATTCCACAGGCCTTCCCCTCAGTGCCATTTGAAACCCCTACACACGCGCGCGCGCAAACACACACACACACACACAGTACACCAAGGGTCGAACCTAAGACAGTCAGGGTGGCATTCGCTGACACAGAGCCTGCCGAGTTCTGGGCGGTGCAGCTGTAAACCCCCATGTCATCTATTTTCACATTAGTGATGAAAAACACGTCGTCGTCTGGCATGACATGCATGCGACGCTCCCGAGCCGCAGGGAAGTCTGTGCCTCCGTCCTTCTGCCAGGCAATCTGGGGGTTGGGGTGGCCGGTGGCCGCACACTCAAGGCGAGCCATGGTGCCAGTCCGGATGGCGATGTCCCGAGGCATTTTGGTAAATGATGGCAGCACTGGAAAACGCACACAAAGGGGGCGGTCAGGGGCCAGCTGGCTGCAGATGCAGGGAACACCTCTGGGGAAGAGACCCCAGTGTGCGAGGGCCACACTGCTGAGCACGCCCAGGCAGAAGCACTCGGCTCACTGGCTCAGGCTCAGCAAACACTGGGGCGCCAGAGTCAGTGTCCAGCTGCACGGCAGGCGTCACCACGCTTGCTGTCCAAGCTGCTCTGGTCAGCCAGGTGCCGTGGCCCACGCCTGTCATCCCAGCAGCTCAGGAGGCTGAGGCAGGAGGATTGTGTTCAAAGCCAGCCTCAGCAACTCAGCGAGGCCCTAAGCAACTCAGTGAGACCCTGTCTCTAAATAAAATATAGGAAAGGGCTGGGATGTGGGTACACACCCCGGGACCTCTTTCACCTGGTGTAAATAACAACTGCCCTGGCAGAGAGTCTCTTAGTTGCCTGAGTCTTGAGGGGGCAGTGAGGCCTCTCTCAGAATACACCAAGACAACCCTGCGAAGGTGCAGGACGGTGGTGTACTCCATCACTTCCCCTGCGAGTGCGGGCAAGTTTGTTCTGTGGTCTGCGGGGGTGACTGAGCGCAGCCTGCCGGCACTTCTGATGACCCACAAGCCAACTCTGTCACTGGCACTTTAATGATCAGAAACATCTCCCCGGGTTCCCAGGGTGTGGGGAGGTGCCCACTCACGCTCCTCCCGTCCCCCTCCACAAACAGCAGCCCTGAGGAGAGCCGCTCTGACACACTGGTTCCTGAGTCCAGGACCTCGTCCCACCCTCCCTAACACCTGTCCTGCTCTCTGCTATCTTGAGAGGTGGGGACCTGCCCCTGTCCAGGCTGGCCTGTGCCTCCACAGCTGTGCCACCCACTCAAGGGCACAGCTTCCCCAGGGTCTGGGATGCGGGACCTAGAAACTGGACCGCGTGGTTCCAGAGAAGTTCAAGGCTCAGCTCTGCCACTCACCCCGCCTCCCGACAGTCACCCAAAGCCCAGGGAGAGGGTGCTTTAACCTGCAGAACCTGCCCCGGGCGAGCCCAGGGGACAGTGCGATCTGATCGCAGGTCTGCCTCCGTCCACTCCGAGGTGGGCAGCCATCAGGGCGGGGTGCCTGGGAGAGACCAACAGGGGCACCTACCGTTCACCGTGAGCCGGGCCTTGTTAGAGTAGGTGGAGCCAAAGTGGTTGGTGATGACACACTGGTAGCGGCCCTCGTGGCCAAAGGTGACCCTGCGGAGGTGCAGGATGGTGGTGTACTCCATCACTTCCCCGTCCTGCGCGCGCACGTGGGCGAAGTTCTCCATGTCGGCGTTGGCCAGAACCTCGTTGTCCTTCTTCCAGGCAAAGGTCATTGGGGAGCTGCTGCTGCTGGCTGCCGAGCACGTGAACCGGATGTCCTTGCCCACCACGGCCGTGGTCGTCTCCGGCTGGGTGATGATCTGTGGCTTTGGGAAGTCGTCTGGGGAGAGAAGGGCCACCTTGAGGAGACAGGGACCAGCTGCTGTCACGCTCGCACAAAACCGGGCCAGGGACACCAGGTCCCACCCAGGTGAGGCCTGAGCACGCCCCTGGACTAGAAATGGGCCACCAGAGCTCAGTCACCCAGCCCTCCGGAAGCTTCCTGGAGGCCCACACCGTCTGCACCTGTGGACACGGCCACACAAGAGGAGCCACTTGTTGTGGCCGCACAAAGGACTCTGGCACGATACTGCCCAGAATGTTGGGATTCCCAGAAATCTGAACTCCCTTAAAAATGATGAAAGTACTGCAAAAATGGTCGAAATCAAAGGTTCCAATTTCTGGAAACCAAACACAACGATCCACAGGTTGTGGACTCAAGAAAATGGAGCCTCTTAGAAAGAAAAAGGAGCTCTCTGGTGTTGTCCCACCTGCCCCACCCTGCTCTGTGACAGCCTTGAGACTCAGCAGCTAGCAACCATTGAGGGGGCAGGTACAGCTCCCCCAAAACCCCATCAGAGCAGTGTCACTGTGTGACCTGTCAGGCCAAGACCTGGAAAGCCCCCTCATGAAGAAGGCTCACCACAGGAAGCCCTGTCCCCAGGCGTCTGATGAAAATATTGGCCACTATGTAACCATGCCACTGTCCAAGATGACTGTACCCGTCGGGGTGAACAGGACCGTGGTCAAGAAATTGAGATGCCAGCCGCAGGCCATCAGAGTGAGGTCCAGCAGAGTCCTGGCAATCAGGAAGGCCATACCCACGTGCAGGGGTGATGATCTGGGATGGGGACCTGGAAACCGGGCCGCATGGTTCCCAGAGCACAACAGAGAAGCGCAGGGCTCAGCTCTGCCACTCACCTGGCCTCCCGACAGTCACCCAAAGCCCAGGGAGAAGGTGCTTTAACCTGCAGGATCTGCCACACACCAGGGAAAGACCTGGGGGAGCCCTCGTTTCTTGCCTGGGCTGAGCTGGTGGACACGCACAAGCAGGAAGTGAGGGCTCACGCCAGCACATACATACACGGCCTGGGTGAAGGACTCAGGATCTGCTGATGGGGTGACTTAAGGACTTCTGTGTCCAACTACTGGCTACTCACTAGCAAACCAAGCAGGAACTCAAGGGGCTGTACAGAGCAGCCTCCACCACACTCATCTAGGAGAGGCCCTAAAGAAACGGTGACGGGCCAGCAAGCCCCAGGGGAGGACGGGAAGATCTGACGTGTGGACTGCCACGTCATTTTACTTTTTTTTTTTTTTTTTTTGGTACTGGGGATTGAGCCCAGGGGCACTTGACTTCTGAGCCTCATCCCCAGCCCTATTTTGTACTTTATTTAGAGACAGGGTCTCACTGAGTTGCTGAGGACCTCCGCTAAGTTGCTGAGGCTGGCTTTGAACTCACAATCCTCCTGCATTGGACTCCTGAGCAGCTGAGATGGGGCCCGTGCTACCGTGCCTGGCATATCGCCTGGCATATTATTTTATCTTCAATGTCCAATTTTCAACAACCAATTATGAAACAGGAAAAAAAACATCAATACAAACTGTCCCTGAGGAAACTGAGATCTTGGACTTATTAAACAATATCAGCTATTATGAAAATACTTGAAAATCTAAAACTATGTCTAAGAGAATTAAAGCATGAGAACACTTTCTTACCCGAGAGAAATGATCAATGAACAGAAACTATAAAAATGAACCATATACAAACCATGGCATTTACAAGTATAGTAATTGAAATTAAAAATCCACCCTAGGGCGGATATAGCTCCGTTGGTAGAGTGCTTGGCTTGCATGCACAAGGCCCTGGGTTCAATCCCCAGAACCAAACCAAAACAAAACAAAATCCACCCTAGGGCTAGGGCTGTAGCTCCCCGGTAGAACACTTGCCTAGGATGAGTAAGGCCCTGGATTCAATCTCCAGGACTACATTTAAAAAAAAAAAACAAACCTAAGTAAAATAAAGGTATTGTGTCCATCTACAACTAAAAAAATATATATATAAAAAAAATCCACCCTTGAGGGCTCAGTAGCAGAACTGAGCTTGTAGATGAGTCAGTGAACTTGAGACAGGTCAGCAGAGATATCCAGTCTGAGAATCAAAGAGAATGAAGAAAATACACAGAACTACAGAGACCTGTGCAAGAGCATCCAGCATGACAACACACAGATCATGGGAGTCCAAGCAGAGGACACAAGGAGGAGGGTGAGTATGTTTGAAGCCCTGATGCACCAAACTTATAAAATTGGATGGAAAACATGCACCCACATATCTGAAAAGTTTAATGAACTCTAAGCAAAATTCATTCAAAAGGCCTAGGTTCATCATAGTCAAGAGTCAAATGCCAAAGACAAAGCATCTTCAAAACAGCACAAGATAAACAACTTATTACATACAAGGGATCCTCGAAAATATTTGTAGCTGATTTCTTATTCAAAACCAGGAAGGTCAAGAGGGAGAAATATTCAAAATACTTAAAACGTCTGGAAATCTCAGATGCAGCAAAATTATCTTTCAAAAATGAAGATGATATTAAAACATTCCCAGATTTTAAAAAATATCCAAACTGAGAGAATTTACTGCTACCAGACCTGACCTACAAGAAATACTTGTGGTGGTGCACACCTGTAATCCCAGCGGCTCAGGAGGCTGAGGCAGGAGGATCATGAGTTCAAAGCCAGCCTCAGCAAAAGTGAGGCCCTAAGCAACTCAGTGAGACCCTGTCTCTAAATAAAATACAAAATAGGCTGGGGATGGGGCTCAGTGGTGGAGTGTTTCTGAGTTCAATCCCCAGTACCCGCCCCCCAACAAAACAAAACAGTAAATGAATTAAACATTCTGATCAAAAGGCAAGGAGAACCATAATGGATAAAAAAAACTATGACCCCAGTATACACTACCTACAAGAGGCAGTTTAGATCCCAAGATAATTAAACAGTCACCCAATATGAGTCAAAATATTTTATCATGCAAATGGATCAATCCATCAGGAAGACAAAAGTTATAAATATATGCACCAAACAGAGCTTTCACAAAATGTAGAGCACAACCTGTCATAACTGTAGAGAAGAACAGACAATGTAACAATAATACTCTTATTTCCAATGAAAAGCTAGGCAGAAAAACTAGGCAGATGTACAAGGAGAAAGAAGACTTGAACAACAGTATAAACCAACTAGTTCTAATGTACACCCGTGGAACACTCCACCGAACAGCAGCAGAATATTCTTTTGAAATGTACATGGAACAATCTCTAAGATAGACTGTATTTTAGGTCAAAACCTAGGTCCAATAAGTTTAAAAAGATGGAAATCACACAAAATATCTTTTTTAATGACAATGGAATGACTTTTAAATCCACAGTGAAGAGGGTATTTGGAAAACAACTTGTGGAAATTAAGCAGTGCACTTCCGCACAGCAGAGAAGAAGTCACAGGGACACTGGAAGATGCTCTGAGTTGAATGAAAACTAAACACATCGTGTCAAGTCTTGTAAGCCAATGGCACAGTAGCACATTCCTGTAATCCCAGTGACTCGGGAGGCTGAGGCAGGAGGATCTCGAGTTCAAAGCCAGCCTCAGCAGCTCAGTGAGGCCCTAAGCAACTCAGTGAGACCCTGTCTCTAAATAAAATACAAAATAGGGCTGGGGATGTGGCTCAGTGGTTCAGTGCCCCTGAGTTCAATCCCTGGTATCTGCCCACCCCCAAATTATTGTAAATGGAATTCTTTTCTTGTTTGTTTGTTTAGTGCCTCGCAATTGCTGAGGGTGGCTTTGAACTCGCAATCCTCCTGGCTAAGCCTTCCAAGCTGCTGGAATTATAGGCATGCACCACTGCACCTGGCCCTAAAAACATTTCTAAAAAAATTTTTGCACAACTGTCTAGAAACTGAAAAACAGCAACCACAATTCACAGACTGGGAAATGGTATTTACAAATCATAGACCCGATGAGGTCTAATATTCTGAATATTCTAATATTCAGAATTGATAACTCATAACAAAATAGAGAAATGAATAAATGACTTGAGTAGCTATTTTTCCAAAGAAGCTATGCACGATCCAATAAGCATCTAGAAAGTTGTTCAACATCATGAGTCACTGTGGAAATGTTAAGACTACTGTGAGATTCTACTCTGTTCCCACTAGCAAAATCTAAAATAAAAAAGATAGCAAGTGTCTGCAAGCATAAGGAGAAACCAGAATCCCGTACATTGCCAGCAGGTGTGTAAAATCCTGAAGCCACTTTGAAAAAACAGTTTGACAGTTCTTTGGTCACACCTAGAGTTACCACAGGACCCAAAGATTCCATTCCCAGGTGCAATCCTGAGAGAATTCACATAACTAGTGCATGAATGTTCACACCAACTTTAATCATAAAATCCCCAAAGTAAGCACCATCTAATATCCGCCATCTAATGCATGGATGAAACAAAACATATATCCATACAGCAGGATGTCACTCAGTCACAGAAAAGGAACTGATGCTTTAAAATTATGCTCAGGGGCTGGGGTTGTGGCTCAGCAGTAGAGCGCTCACCTAGCACGTGTGAGGCACTGGGTTTGATCCTCAGCACCACATAAAAATAAATAAATAATGAGAATGAAGAAAATACACAGAACTACAGAGATCTGTGCAAGGTGCTATGCCCAACTATACCTGAAAAAGTATTAAAAATAAAACTATGCTCAGGGGTGGGGGCAGCTCAGGCCCCAGATCCAATCCCCCCACTGGGGGAGGAGACCCGGCAAATTGAGAAAAGGAGAGTTCCTCAGGCCTCATGCCATCCGCCGGCACTCATGCTAACTGTCCAGAGCAGGCAGGTCACACACACTCGTGGACTAGTGACCGCCACGGCTGGGGGCCAGGAGCAGAGGGAGCGCCTGCTAAGGCGTGGGGTTGTGGTTTCTTTCAGAGGTGACGAAAATATTATAAATCAGAGATGACACACATTTTGAAGACTCTAAATCCTAAGTTCACGTTTTTCAAGAGACACATTTTTATGACATGTAAAAATTATATTTATAATACACACACACACACACACACACACAGCTTTACTGAGCCACAATTCACCTACGCTGCAGCTCGCCCATTTCAAGTTCACAACCGAATGGTCTGTGGTGTATTCACGAGTAGGTGTCCTCATGACCACAGTCAGTTTTAAGATAATCTTTGTCACCTCATGGAGAAGCACTTTGTAGCTACTCCTCTGCTCCCTCCATCTCTCTCCAGGCTGGAGCACCTCCTAGGGCACTTCCTACCTCCACAGATCTCCCTGTCTTGGGAGTTCCCTGTGCCTGGGTTGTAGAATCTGCGGTCCTTTGTCACTGACCGCTTTCCCTTAGCTTATCATTTTCAAAGTTCATCCAGGCTGTGGGAGGGACGGGACGGGTGGCATTTTATGGCCTGATAATCCTCCAGTGTCTGGCTATACCACCTTCCTCTATTCATCCATCAACTAGTGGGCACTTGGGTGCCCATTTTTTGGCTATTATAAACAACGCTGCTGTGAACACACGTGTGGAGAGGTTTCCGTGAGATGTGCATTTGTCCCAGGAGAGGAACAGATCGTAACTGTTTAAATGAGGAACTGCTAAGGCTGCCTTCCCAAGGAACTGCCCATCTTGTATTGATCCCAGCAGTGGGGGGATGGGGGGTTTCAGGTGCGTCCCCTCACTTGTCAGCGCTGGCTCCTACCTGGCTCTACCTGCCATCTTAGAGGGTGTGAGTTGGTCGTGCTTTCAAATTTTTTTTTTTTTAGAGGCGTGGGAGAGCGCACAGAGCTGGAAACTCTGATCTCCTGCCAAGTGTTTTCGTGATTCCCATTAACACCAGATGGTTGGGGTTTTTTTGGAGAGAGGGTGTGGGGGAAGCCTGAGCTGAATCGAGGGGGTGGGTCTGAGAGATGTGAGATCAACAACCACTGCAATCTGCCAGTGCCCAAGGTCAGGGCTGCCACAGAAGTCCTCCCTGGAAGTCCTCCCTGGAGGGTCCGAGGGAAAGGCTGCCCTGTGGCAGGAGCGGGAGGAAGTGGCAGACAGCCTCGCTCCAGGGAGCTGTGGAAAGAGATTAATGGTCCAGGGCTCCCTGAGCAATGGGCGATGAACCACGGACCGCACAGCCATTCCGTGCCCAGGGAGCCGGAACTGGGCACAGCCTGGGACCCCCCGCAGAAGGCCCCTAAGAAGGACCGGCACCGTCTGGAGATCTGCAACCGTGTTCTCCATGCTTACTTCTCCCCGGTCTGAACCAGGCGGGAGGGGGGCCAGCAGGCCCACACTAAGCAGGGGTTCGTCCCAGTGGGGTGAAGGGTGAACGCATGGACGGAGGGCAGTCTTCTTTCACCCCCAGCAGGGAAATGGCTACTGCCAGAGCCAAAAGTAGGTCACAGACGTGGCCCAGCAGGAACCCTGCACTGCTAGGTGGGCTTCCAGTTAGGACTGTCCCAGCCAGGACCTGGCAGCAGGAGAGATGTGCATGTGCCCAGCAGGGCCTGACGGGTGTGGCATCCTGTCCCCTCTCCTGCTCCAAGCAAACGCCAGGAACAACTCAAAATCCATCTCAATCTTTGCCTCCGTGTTCGTGGCCGAGAGGCTGCGTCATTCCTGTCTGGGCTAGCCCGTGTGTGTGTGTGTGTGTGTGTGTGTGTGTGTGTGTGTATGCGCGCGCAGCTGTTCAGCATTTTCTGTACTCTTTGTGGATCCTGAGCACTCCTGGTCAAAAAAAGATGACATTCTAACAACCCATAGGAAGGAGGCATCTCTAGCTATCCCTGCAGATTTCAGGGGTTTGGAGAAACAGCCACAGTGCAGGTGAACCCGGAGGGACTGTTTTTACTAGAGCGAATGTTCTCCCGAGACCCGTGGACCATCATATGGTGCGTCAATTCCCAGTGACACCAGGGCCCCAGATCTCTCCGGAAACACCTTCCTGTGACTGATTATTCTGAGTGTCACCAAGCCCCTGCATGCTGCCCTCTGATTAAACGCTATACTCCAAGCGTCCCAGGAGGCACCTCATGGTAAATGCCGTGTGTGGTTTCAGCGGGAAATAAATGGCATCCAGGGGCCAATCCCAGCCGTGGGCTGGGATCCCCGGGATCACAGCAATGGCTCCCACAAGCAGGAGGCCCGCCTGGCCTCTTCGCCCTTCGTGGAAAAAAAAAAAAAAATCTTCCACGAGGTCTTACCACACACGAAACTCTCCGGCGGTACTGAGAAAATGCTCTGGCCCTTCAGTGACTCTGGGTGGGCACAGGTGGCTGTCACAAAGGCCTGCAGTGTCCTGCTCTCGAGCCATGGAGGCAGCCACTTGAGCTGGCAGTCACACAGGAAGCTGTCACTGCTGATGTGGCTGAAAGAAAGAAAAGGATACTAAGTGTGGGTCTGCACGGAATAGGGCAGCTTTAACAGACGGGGACATTCATCGCCACCCACAGCGCGTGACACCAACACCGTGGACCTGACTGGGAGATGCCCTCCCCACAGTTCCTCTCTGCTGGAGGAACAGCGCCTAGAACCTACCTGGAGATTCGCACCAAGTGCAGCTTCTGACAGAGTCCGTCAGGATGGAGCCCAACTCTGCCCTCCTACCAAGCTCCAGGGGGGGAGCTGAGACCCCTGCTCCAGAGGCTGCACTTGGCCCTTGTTCTCAGACTCTGCTCCTGTTATCTTGGGGACACCTCCTCACCTTTTCCTGACCTTGGATACACCTTACAGTGGCAAGAGCACTTTCCTGATAAATCCCAAACTCAGTCCCCAGCCCTGGGACCTTGATCTCAACTCTGCAACAAGTTCTAAGAAGTCTTCTTTCTTCTTTTATGGCTGCTGCTTTTTGACTGGCCAAGCTGGGTTCAGGGATTGAACCCAGAGGCACTTAAGCACTGAGCCACATCACCAACCCTTTTCATTTTTTTATTTAGAGACAGGGTCTCGCTGAGTTGCTTAGGGCTTCACTAAGTTGCTGAGGCTGGCTTTGAACTCGTGATCCTCCTGCCTCAGCCTCCTGAGCCACCGGGATCATAGGCGAGCACCACCGCACCTGGCAAAGCTGCATGTTTTCTTACTTCTGAATGTCAGCCTCCTGGCCTCACGGCCCTCTCTCTACACGAGCGTCGCTCAGGAGGTCGGGAGAATGCAGCCCTGCTCCCTAAATAGTGCTCATTAGTTAACTGCCTCTGCCCAGGGAGCAGGAGAATGTTCAACTTGGGTTTTGTGAGCCTCCAACCAAAACAGAGAATATTTTCTTTTTCATTTCTCAGCAACTGAGGATAAGCTTTTCAAACAGAAATCAGAATGGCCATCTGAGCGGACATTCCTTCCTGAGGAGTCACACACCAAGATAAGTCACCCGGAGAGTCTAGCTGCCCTGGTCCTGGGAGAGCCCAGGCCTGAGCTGAAGAGCAGTGGCCAACCTATGAGAAGGACAGACACAAAGACACGTGGCTTCCCTGTCATGTCCCTGACACTCAGTGACAGAAAGGGGCACAGTAAGCCTAGGAAATCCACAAACGTGGTGCTGGCCAACAGTCCAGCCAATGGCTTGTTCTTCCAGCTGCTGCAACCCTCAGACCCACAAAACAACCACAGGGACTGGCTTTCTGTTCTCTTTCACTCTGAATGTGGTTTTGTTTGTTTGTTACTGGGGATTGAACTCAGGGACACTCGACCCCTGAGCCCCATCCCCAGCCCTAGTTTGTATTTTATTTAGAGACAGGGTCTCACTGAGTTGCTCAGGGCCTCACTAAGTTGCTGAGGCTGGCTTTGAACTCTTAATCCTCCTGTCTCAGTCTCCAGAGCTGCTGGGATTATAGGCATGCACCACCGCGCCTGGCCCACCCCCAGTCCTTTTTATATTTTATTTAGAGAGAGAGTCTTGCTGAGTTGCTCAGGGCCTCGCTAAGTGGCTGAGGCTGGCTTTGAACTCCTTTTGAACTCCTTTAATCCTCCTGTCTCAACCTCCCAAGGACTTCCAATGAGCAAAGAAAGTGTCCAACTAGCAAACAGCAAGGAAGAGTGAACAACCTGTTTCCTCATCATTCCCAGAGGTAAGGTCACAAAATACTTCTCTGAAAACTGAAATGATTCATCTTAAAGCCATGATAATAGGGAGGCCTGGCCCAGGGCAGACCGTAGCGTAGGCCTGAGGCTTTGGATTGTATCTGTCAGGCAGCTGACTTTCTGTGTCCTGCTAAGGAGTTACTCTAGGGGTGGAAGGGCAGCTGATGAACAGAAATGGCCCACCTCACTCCTGTGCAGGGAGGAGGGTGTCCCAGGCACAGCTCCTGTGACTGGCTCACTGCGCCAGGACCTCACCCTCCTGGTGAGGAGCCAGCAGGAACTCCCACTGTCAGAATCTCCTCGGGTTCAACCTCCAGGGGCACTTATGCAGTTCCCCAGGGCACTGCGTTGGAAAGCCTGCAGGCAGAGCCTGGGCCAGGGCTCAGGACAGCCTGGCCACACCACCCTGTAAGTTAGAGACAAAGGCCAGGCTGACTGGAAAGAGGGGACCGTGAGCTGCCCAGCCTCCGCTGACTCCTGCCCGTCTTCAGCACTCGGGCAAAGCTCAGCCTCCGCAGCTGCCAACAGACACGGCCCCCCTGGCTCCCGCCTCCAGCCACCCCGATACTTCGCTGGCTAAGAGTGTACATTTTCATGACTCCAACTCAAAGTGTGTTTCTGATCATCGCTTGTGGAAATTTACCCAGAGGGCCACAAAGTGCACACCACAACCTGCCTTGTGCCATGGGGAAGAAAAAACCAACAGGAATTAACCCTCGGGGCCTTCCAGAGGATGGGCCCAGGCCAGCCCCAGCTGGGTCCATGCAGCAGCGACTGACGGGAACCCAGGCGGGGACCAAGGCTCAGCGCCAGAGCCAGGCAGAGTGGGGTTTTGTTGTCTTTCTTTTCTTTGCGAGGTGGGGGTGGGAGTGGGTTGCCCAAGCTTCTATAGGGTTCAGTTCTTCCCAACTAGACAACGGTCTCCTAAGAACCTAAAAGAAGAATCTCTCTCCTTTTTTCCTTCTTTCGCCCAAAATACCCTTTTCCCATTTAATCAGATCTTCTGGACTCCTGACACGTTTGGAAGTTTAGAGAAAAGTTGTTAAGAACTGAACAGATCATGCTCACCCATCCCAGGAGATCTGGATTTTTTTTTTTTCTGGCACTGGGGATTAAACTCAGGGGTGCTCAACCACTGAGCCCCATCCCCAGCCCTTTTTATTTTTATTTTTTTTTTTTATTTAGAGACAGGATCTCGCTGAGTTGCTTAGAACCTCTCTAAGTCGCTGAGGCTGGCTTTGAACTCATGATCCTCCTGCCTCAGCCTCCTGAGCCCAGGGATCTTTTATAACCAACATTCCCCCTTACTTGCTTTCTCAGTATCCTGCCCTATATCCAGTGCAGAATCACTTGTCAAGAAGAGGACCTGGGGAAATCTGTTCTTCAGAATCTGTCTCACCCAGATGGACAAGAGAAGAGTAGCCATGGTTGGAAGCAGGAAAGAAGCCCAGAAGGCTCCCTCCCTGTGTGGCTCTCCACACAGCCCCGCGGCCCCAGTGAGCCTGCCGTGAGCTCCCATTTGGAGGTTCCTGACCCCCCTCGCTCAGCAAGAGCACCCTCGAGTTCCTCAGCACAAGCTCTTCATGGGACAAGTGCTCCACACCCCCTCCTCTCAGAGGGATGCTGTCTGCCCCCTTGGGCTCTCAGCCACGGGGACTGGGCCTTTTCCCCATTCCTACCCTCCCCGCCCCAATCAAGGGTCCACCTGGAGTGGCCTCAGGAATGGGATGAGGTCAGGGCATCTGGCACCTCACAGGCACGCCTCAGAACACTCAGTGAGACCTGCAGGGGACTGACATTACGGATGGAACTTACTGGCCACAGAATCAGTGGCGTGTGGGAGTGGGAAAGGGGGCGGGGCCATCGCTCTGCCTGGGCCACGACGGTGGGGAGCTCCTCTAGCCCTGGTCGGTCACCTGGCACCCCACCTCTGAGCATCCATCAGTGCCCCTGCTGCTCGAACCCACCCGGCTCGCTCAAGAAGCCCTTCTCCATGCGGCCTCTTCACTGTAAGCAAACCCAAGTGAGGAGAACGTGTCCCTGGGGTAACTAAAGGGGTGATCACCCACTTTTTAGAGAAGAACGCACCTGACGTTATACAGAACAGCTGTTGGCACAGCACAGCCTGCAGGCTGCTGCTGCTGTACAAATTCAATGGCACACAGCCACGCCTGTTCCCCTATGTATTATTTATGGCTGCTTTCTGCTTTAACAACCTCGCCAAGGAGTTGCTACACAGACCCTGTGACCCAGGGTCAAAAATATTCACATCACTACCCTTTAAGAAAAAGATTGTTGCTGGGTATGCTGGTGCACGCCTGGGATACCAGCAACTCTGGAGGCTGAGTCAGGAGGATCTCAAGTTTGAGGCCAGAACTTGTTTTGTCTGCTTAGGGCAGGGGGTTGCCCTAGCTTCTGAAAAGGTTCAGTTCTTCCTTAGTAATACCCTGTCTCAAAAAGGGCTGGTGATGTAGCTCAGTGGTGGCGCACCCCTGAGTTCCATCCTCAGTACCACCCCGCCAAAAAAAAAAGGTATTTTCTACCTATTGATCCCAAGTAAGCACCACTTCCTTGGGGGGGGGGGGGCAGGGGGGAACTGGGGATTGAAATTGAACTTTGGGACACTTAAGCACTAAGCCACATCCCCAGCCCTTTTAATTTTTTTTATTTAGAGACAGGGTCTCACTGAGTTGCTTAGAGCCTCAATAAGTTGCTGAGGCTGGCTTTCAACTTGCGATCCTCCTGCCTCAGCCTCCTGAGTCGCTAGGATAACAGGCGTGTGCCACCAAGCCAGCTTCCGCATAGTTTTTTTTTTTTTTTTTTTAAGAACACTTTGACTTACATCTACCCATAAACAATCAGAGCTACTAGATACAGTGAGCATAAAGCAATTACAAGGGTTTGTTACTCTGGAAGTTCGTCCTCATGTTCACGAGGCCCCCAGGAAGCCCCGGTACTTACAGCTCCTTAAGATTCCTCATCTTGATAAAGGTGTCCAGCTGCACAGACCTGATGGCATTCTCTCCCAGGTCCCTGAAACACAACACAAGGACTTGTGCCAAGAGACCCCGGGTGCCCTTCCAGCCAGCCCCGTGTCTGAGCCAGGAGACTCGGCGGTTTTCGGTGACAGCCTTGGTTTCAGGTGACCCACACAGGTGATCCCTCCACAGGAGGTGGCTCTTGCACGTGTTGACACAGCACGTGCAGTGACAGGGGGACCCAGCCCGTCTGAGGGGCAGCGCAGAGGTGGCTGCAGGCCTGCTCAGCAAGTCAACTGCCACAGGCTCTCCCAGCAGAACCGGGGCTGAACTTGGTGCAAAGAGGAAACAGATCACGCCCACCACTGGAGGCAGCTACCCCAGAAGGATGTGAAGGTCTCAGGGCTGGCTGGTCCCCTTCCTCCCAGGGCCAGCCAGAGACGCTCCCAGTGGGGTGGGGTATGCGTCACTCTGCTGGCTGGCCTAGTGGGGGTGGCGAGGAGACCAGGGCCCAGGGAGGGGCGGGGGCAGCGGCGACACAGGGCAGTGGAGGGAGGAAGGTACTGTCCGCACACCAGCTGCATTCATGGGGATCACACCAACTGGCCATGTGTTCTGGGACTGCTCTGGCACGGGCAAGATCAGGGCCAGCACTGAAGCAGCTGCCGCTTCTAAACAGCCTGTTTCTCGGTTTACAAAGATGCCATTCAATCCTAGCCGACTTCGCCGTGGCCGCCCTTGGCAGGTCTGCGGGTCAGGCAGGGTCTGTCGAGATACTCACAGGTGCTCCAGGCCTTCCAGCCCCGAGAACGCTCTCTTAGCCACGGACTTGATCTTGTTCCCGAACAGAGTCCTGCAGATTCCGAACATCCAGGAAGAGACAGGGTGGGGGACAAGGGGGGAGAAAGAACACACGGTCAGCCTGTCTGGTGAGAGGCAGGGGAAGCTGACCTGCGCTGAGATCCCAGGGCGGACACACACAGCCCTGCCCCTTCTGAGAGGAAACGCTTTTCCCTCTATTGGAATCCAGGAGCAACGACAGGCTGAAGGTGCACGCACTTTAGGGCCTACAAAGGCCCCCTGCAGACTCCATCTCACTCAGGTCAGAACGGCGATCATTAAGAATACAACTGACAATAAGTGTTGGTGAGGATGTGGGGAAAAGGTACGCTCAGACACTGCTGGTGGGACTGCAAATTGGTGCAGCCACTCTGGAAAGCAGTCTGGAGATTCCTCAAAAAACTTGGAATGGAACCACCAATTGATCCAGCTATCCCACTCCTTGGTCTATATCCAAAGGACTTAAAATCAGCATACTACAGTGACATGGTCACATCGATGTTTATAGCAGCCCCGTTCACAATAGCTAAGCTCTGGAACCAAACTAGGTGCCCCTCAACAGATGAATGGATAAAGAAAATACAGTGTACATACACAATGGGATATTACTCAGCCTTAAAGAATGAAATTATGGCATTTGCAGGTAAAAGGATGGAACCAGAGACTATTGTGTTAAGTGGAATGAGTTCATCCCAAAAAACAAAGGCCAAATATTCTCTCTGATTTGTGAATGCTAGCCCAAAACAAGGGCGGTTGGGGGAATAATAGAAATCCATTGCATTAGAAAAAGGGAAATGTAGGGAAGGGAGGGGGATGGGAATGGGAAAGACAGTGGAGTGAATGGGACAGAACTTTCCCATGTTCATATGTGAACACACGACCAGGGAAACTCCACATCAGGTCCAACCACAAGAATGGGAAGTGAGACTCCATGTGTGTGTAGTATGTCAAAATACACTCTTCTGTCCTACATAACTAATAAGAACAAATAAAATCCATTGGACACACACTTGTCCCACCTGGCCCTCTGTTTCCAAGGGCCCCCTGAAGGGGGTTGGGGGTGAGGCAGGCAATAGCATCACAAGAGACAGGCTGGGTAGTCTCTCAGTGAGAAGAAACAGAGAAGGTAACGAAAACTGTGGATCTGAAAGCTGCTGCCCACTTCTGAGAACTGTGTTCCAGGGATAATGGCTCCCAAAAGAGGCAAGGAGGGGACAGGAAAACGGGTGGCTTGTCAGGGTGGCTCCACAGCTCTTTGCACCTGAGATGCACCCTGGCATCTCAGCCTGCAGGAGATGCCTTGTGCTGTGTCTTGTGAGCAAGACCCCAGATTTTAAATGATGTCAACCCATCAGACATGGGTGCCACCAAGAACCAGGTAAGAAATGTGGAATACAAAGGCCTCCCCGCAGAGAAGCCAGTGAGCACCAAGTCCCCCTGCAGGGATGCCAAGAAAGGGAAGGTGAGCCCCAGAAAACCAAAGATGGCAGGGTCAGGCCATCGCCAGATGTCTGAGCTTCAACCCAACTGCAACAGGGCAGGAGCAGCAGGCGTCCTCGGGAGTACAGGCCAAGCCAGGACCCAGAGCTCGGGCGGGGGAGGCTGCTCCACCTGCTCCCCAGACACCACCAGCCCACAGGCCAACGTCTGGGGCAGCCACGCCACAGGGCTCCCTGTCCCCCATTTCATCAGAAACAGACTCCTCCCCTGGGGGCCTCCATTCCAAGGGCCCCCGCAGTCACTCCACATTCAGCCTCAGACAAAGGCCAGCTCTGTTTCCTGTCTCCTCTGGAGGGCAGAGAGCAAACAGGCCACAGACCCCTGTGCATGTCTCCTCTCCGAGGTGGTGTGTGCATGGACGTGCCAGCAATCTCACCCCCAAAAGTAGTTCTACGGCCTCGCAACCAAGACTTCTATTTTTAAACAAATAAACCAAACACAGAAAACCTGGTGGCTGGGCTTAGGCTCTGTAACCACAGAACTAGCAGCAAATAAGGGCTCAGGAGGGCACCAAACTCTAAGCAAGGCTGAGGGCACTGCCAACCTCTCCACCTGCTCAGATCCCCCCCCCCCCAGCCGAGGACCCGTGCACCCCAGGTCCTAGTAAAAACGCAAGGCGCTGATTAGCTAGACCTGTGAACCAGATCCAGGGAAAAGCCAGGCTGTGTTTCATCCACTCCATGTTAGTCACGTTGACCCCTTTTACAGTGAGGCCAGGCTGTTATCCCTAATGGTGACAATAGCAATAAAATGAGTTCTCCATTTCTCAGGGCCCGTCGTGCTGTGCATGGACTACAACAGGCCTTCACCTTCTCCCAGCCGGCGCGTGGGGGCTGGGTGGCACTCTAGCTAGACACCGCAGCGGTTCTAACAAACAGCCGCTGGGTGGGCAAGGGGGACCGGGGGCTCTCCGCTGGGGGGATGCTCTTGTCCCACGGCCAGGGATCCCAGGGAAGGGATGGCTGGCCTCTCATGAGTCTCCCGGCCAGTCAGTCACAGGCTCCCAAAGGCTGGATCAGTGCTTGCCCAAGCCACGGTGGCAAGGCACAGGGGGACGGTGCAGTGGCACTCATGTCCCTGGGACTAGCAATGACTGGCACAAACCCCTCTCCCCATGAATCCCACCCTGAAGGCCCCACCCAAAAGCTACAGGACCTCCTACCTCGTGGGAACCCAGAGGCTGGGCATCTCTCCGACACCCCCTTTACCTGGACCTCTGCTCCCAGCCTCCCAAAGAACGCCCCAGGCACAGGGCAGACCCCTGCATCGCCTGCCCTCCCCACGTCGCTAACAGTGCCAATGAACTGCCTCTCCTGGGGTCCAGAAACTCTCCCTTCTCTCCTCATTTGCTACCTGCGCAGGTCCCCAGCAGGTGACACCAGAGCCATTTTGGAACAGGATCTCTGGAGTGGGAGAGTATGACAATCCCAGGAAACCTGGGGGAAAGGCACACTCCAGCAGCACCAGGAAGGGCTGGGCTTGAGGGACTACCTGAGCTCAAAACCTGGAACAAGGAAGGGCAACGTCCACCCGGTGGTCACAGAGGGCTCTGCTGCTCTTAGTGGGAAAATATCCTCAGTTAGGCCTGTGGTGAGCGAGGAAGGACCCCAGGAGTGGCTCACCTCCCCATTCAGAGGCAGATCCAGCAAGACCAGCCTCTCAAGCTCTCCAAAGGCAGGCCCAGGCCACCTCGCGGGGACTCCACATGGCTCCTCTGTGCTGGCATGCTCCACTCTGCCCAGGGGAGCCCCGCAGACTGGGGCCAGCCCATCCAGATGGGGCAATGTAGTGTGATGGCCACCATGCCCTCCAGCACAGCCATGCCACAGAGCTCCCAGTGACCCTGGGAGGAAATCCAGCAGGGGAGGGGATCCAAGCAGGTTCCCTCCTTAAGTGGTCACTCAACACCAAGCACAGTGGTCAACCTAGAGGTGTGCACCAAGATCCGCTTTTCTCTTTCCCTTCTAATGCACAAACTTTCGCACACCAGCAGACAAGACAAAGCAGTATTGTGAACCCCAGGTGGCTGCCCCACACCTACAGGTGTCATTGGATTGTGCCAATCTCATTATCCCCTCTACCTCTACCCTTTCGCCATTTTCTAATCCAGCTGGATTATTTCAAATCCAAATCACAGGCATCAAATCATTTTCTTTTTTCTTTCTTTTTTTTTTTTTTTGGTATCAGGGAATTGAACCCAGGGGCACTTAACCACTGAGCCACATCTCCAGCCCAATTTAATATTTTATTTAGAGACAGGGTCTCCCTGAGTTGCTTAGGGCCTCGCCATTGCTGAGGCTAGCTCTGAACTCATGATCCTCCTGCCTCAGCCTCCCGAGCCGCTGGGATGACAGGTGTGCACCACCACACCAAGGTAGAGCCCACTTTCTGCTGCAGGACTCAGACACAGGACAAGGGAGCTGTTCAAGGGGGTTCCAGTGCGTACCAGCACTCAGAGAGCCACGAACTCAGAAATACTCACAGCTTGCTGAGGCTGTCGAGGCCTGTGAAGGCGCCACTGGTGTCCTCTATTGTGCCTGAGATCTCGTTATGGTCCAGGTCCCTGGGGAGAAGACAGAGTGTGAACCTCTCAGTCACAACCCTCACCCCACTTTTTTTCATTAGTTCTACATGACAATAGAATATGGCATCATTTTTAAAGCATGGAATATAATTTGTTCTGATTCGGTCCCCAGGATTTCCCCTCCCACTCTCTGTAAGGACAGGAGAACTGCTTCAGACTGGGTTTCTACTTCACAGCTCAAGGCACCCAGGTATACCCTAGGAGCCCAGTGTCCTGTACGGTCATGAGGAGTGCGGCTCTGAGAAGCAGGCCCCGCTCTGTGCAGCCTGCAGTGTGGCTGGGCCCCCACGGCCTTCCAACGCAGCTGATGCACACCCCAAATAAGCAGCTTTCTCCGGCCAGGCCCGGGGGCGGGAAGCAGTACAGAGCACATGATGGAAAGCCCAGTTTGTATTCTGCCTGCCCAGAGTGGACATCTGGCCCTGGCCTGGAGGATCTGTTGACAAGTTCCTTGAGGTTCCTATCTTCTCGAACTCAACCAGAGTCCCCTTTTTTGGACCCGACCAAGAATCTGGAGCAAAGCACGTAGAAGAAAAAAATCAGGCAGTGAAGAAAGGGACCCTGGCCCTGTGCCCTGCATGCTGGCCGGTGAGTCTGGGGCCCAGAGCCCATCTCCTCATGGGGCCTGCAGAGAGCTAGACACTGAGCCAGGGAGGACATCTGGGTGCTGAGTCAGACTTGTGACCCGCTCGCCAGGGTGGGAGAGATGGGGCCAACTCTCCAGGCCAGGCTCCCCCAGCAGAGCAGATCCCAAGGCCAGTGACTCAGCCCGCTTCCCAGCGTCCAAGGGCAGGTCACGGTGCCCAGGCGGGACATCGCACCTGGCGGCCAGGCCCTGTTCTGCACACACTCTGCCGTCTCCAACTTTCCACCAGGCCCTCGGGCCTGCCCTTCCCTCTCCTAAGTCCTTGCACAAGGGCCAGGATCAGAAAGGGATGCTCTTGGCTCTCAGGAGGACCTGGAATGGACGGTGCCAGTGGGAAGGGAGCTCTGAGTGAAGGTGAACCACTCGCTGTGACCTTGCTTGAGCAAAGTCGGCTGCTGGAGGGGCTTCTCCTTCCCACAGCTCCTGCCTGTTATCTTCAGACTGGATGCACCCAGGCCTGGGGCGGTGGCTTTGTGTGCTTGTGTCCCCACTCCTGCTGCCAACCTTTCCCTCTTCCTCTGGCCTGCTAAGTCTCCATGCCTGGCCTCCTTATCCTGGCCTTGTAGGACTTCTGCTTGAATAGCTTGGCCTGGGGCGCTTTGCTCCCCCAGGCAGTGACTCCACATTAAAGCCAGCTCCGCCAGATGCAAGTGCAGAGGGGCGTCCTGCCCCAACTGCCTGCAGCAAGCCCCTGTCCACCAGGAGATCATGCCTAGGAAGGGGGTCTCAGAGCCCACCACCACTGTCTGCTGAAAATCACACACCCCCCTCTGGGGGCTTTCTGCAGATGGTTTGAAAACTGTCTGAGGCCAACAATCGAAAAGTTCTCTAAAAATCCCAGAAAAGCATCTGGGGGTGACTTCTGGTGACTCACCTAATGGGACACTTAGAGGGACATGGCATATCACCTCCACCTGGTTGAACGGCTCCCTAATGAGGACAAGGAAAGACACAGAGTCCCCAACTCCACCTCTTTTGGAAATGAGGCACATAGGACACCAAGTGTAACAAAGGAGTTTTTGAACTAGTTTTCTGCAATGGTTTGGAGAAAAGACATAGAGGGTTTAAAAAATGAAGCCGGGCGCAGTGGTTCATGCCTGTAATCCCAGGGGCTCAGGAGGCTAAGGCAGGAGGATTGTGAGTTCAAAGCCAGCCTCAGCAAAAAGCGAGGCCCTAAGCAACTCCGTGAGACCCTGTCTCTAAATAAAATACAGAATAGGGCTGGGGATGGGGCTCAGTGGCCAAGTGCCCCTGGGTTCCATCACTGGTATCGAAAGAAAGAAAAAAAAAGATGATTGCAGGGACAGTGTGGCAGTGGCTGCCGACCTGGGGACGCTCACTTCAACAGCAGGACCCAGCGTCCTGACAGGCACAGTGTGCAGCTTCTGCTTGGTGACACCACACTTTAGGGTTGTCATTCCCCTCAGGCACCATCCCAGGGGTACAAGGCATTTGACATCATATACACACATGACACATCAGCTTGGGGTCCAATTCCCACCCAAAGCCATTGGGAGCAGAGTTCGGAGAACTCCCAGAGGCCTTCAGGGGCCAGCTCTGCCCTGTTCTGCTCTCCCGCCCAGGACCCCGTCACTCTGTCACCCCCACAGCGAATGCCGTACAAGATGCGCAGGTTCTTGAGTCCCTTGAAGGCGCCCTCGGCGATGTGGCTGATGGAGTTGTGGCTGAGGCGCAGGACGCTCAGGCTGCCCAGCTCGGCCAGGCTCTCCTCGTCCAGCCGCGTGAGGTTGTTGAAGGACAGGATCCTGGGGAGGCAGAGGGGCACAGGTCATTATCAGCCCGTGGGATCTCTGTGGGCAGGGAGCATCTCACAGTGGACGTACAGCTAGGTCATCCACCTGGTCTAACAACAGGGATGGCTGTGCAGGTCCCGGTGTGGTTAAACTGTAGGGGATGGCACAAGGTCAGGCAATACAAAGCCTCCCTGCTGGTGTCCAGGCTGGGCCTGATTCAGATCTTTCTTGGCAGAGGCCCCCGACACCCTGGACAGGCCCCTTGTGGGTCAGATGCTGCCACTCCATGCACTGGACAGCAGAGGGCGCCACACATCCCTGCCTGGGACAGCCACTGCAGGGCCTCAGCCTCAGCCTGGGAGGCTCTGGCCTGAGTGTCACCTACCCTCCCTGTGAGCAGGACAGGACACGCCCCAAATCATCCACTTAGCCTACATGTGAGACTCCACCCCTCCTCCCAGACACCCGTGCATTTCTGACACAACCCTGGCGCTGGTCACTTGGCATCTGGGTCACCTCTGGTTGAAAAATGGTTAGTTTGGGCTGGGTCAGGAAGAAGGAAAATAGTATCAGTGAAGATTAATGGGTTTTTAAAGGGGGCAGCCGGCAGCCTTCTTTCCCTGCCGGAGAAATAAGTCATGGTGTCTGTCAGTCGCAGGACCTGGCAGGAGACCAAAATTATATCCTCACCTGCAATTAAGGAATTTGGCTTAAGGGAGGGGCGGGAAAGCAACCCTCAGCCTGGCTCTGAGGTGACCTGAGCACGGGGCAAGCTTCTGGGACTGGTCAAGGCACGCTGCAGTGACCCCTGGCCCCTCTACAGGGTACAGCAGACAGCGGTCCACAGCCAGAAAGGGGAGCAGGGGACTCAAAGCCCCGCCAAAGCTCCGGAGCACAGCTTCTCCCAGGAGGTCACACACACCGTCTCAGGACGGCTCCTCACCCTAGGAACTGGACAGGCTCGGGACTGCGGGACTCAACACCTGCCCTGCTTCCCCAGGGCTCCCAGCCCAGGACAACAGAGAACCACGCGTCCCCTGAGTTCCCTCATGCGGTCCCCGGCTAAGCAAAGAGCGTGTCATCCAATACCACAAGAGGGGCGAAGCAGCACCCTGAAGCATCAGGAGGGCGAATCTAACACCCCAAGCCCAAGGGCAGTGAGCGGGAGGGACAGGCGGGCTGCTGCGTGGCACACGCCCTGACCACAGACCCATGGAGACCGAAACGCCAGGTCAGCAGAGGGATGCACGTGGGCCAGTGACGTGAGACACACACAACGGGAGGGACCGGGTAAGGACTCGGGCTGCGAGTGCAGCATGAAGTTCCCAGGCCCCCGTGAGTGTGCCTGGCACCCGTAACGCTTGCTCACATGAAGTGACGATTTTTCTAGGCCAAGCCTACGAGAAGTGGGAAAGGAGAAAACCCTCCTGAAAAATAAGGAAACCCGACTGGACTGAACTAGAGCATGATTAAACTGAAAATTCCCACCTAGCGAGGACCTGTTCCCCCAGCACAAGCAGAGCTCTAGAAACGGGTGCAGACACAGGAACACGGCCACGTTCTCGACCCTCAGCTCTGCAGCCCCACCTGTGCACACAGGATGGAGAGGGCACCCAGGTTCCTTCTCCAGGGGTCACCACTGTGGCTCTCAGCTTGAGCAGGAGTGAGCTCAGGTGCCCTCAGGCCCAGCCTGGGTGTCCGGCCTGGGGATCTTCCAAAGGGATGGGGGGGGGGGGGGGGGGGGGGGGCTGTGTGCCTCCACGCACATCCACCTCCTCCACCAGGCACGACACGTAAAGGGAGGAGCCAGGTCCCTGGGGAAGCCGACCCAGGTGCAAGCGCTGAGGACACACAAATTCTTCCACAGTCAGCGGGTCGCCATTGCTCTGTTCATGCTCCTAGTGTGCTTCAAACACACTGTTTCTCTCTCTCTCCCTCTTTGGTACTGGGGCTTGAACCCGGGGGTGCTCTACCACTGAGCCACATTGCCAGCTTCTTTTATTTATTTATTTATTTATTTTTGAGACAGGTCCCACTAATTTGCTGAGGCTGGCCTCAAGCTTGTGATACTCCTGCCTCGGCCTCCCAAGTCACTGGCATTATAGGTGTGCCACACCATGGCCCAGAGGTCTAAGGTAACATCACTCCCCAAGTAGCTACAGTGAGAAGGGTTCTTCGGGTTGCCCTTCCCAGGCAGAGCCCTTGACTTCAGGAGCTTTTTCCACACCCAAGAAATCCCTGGAGACAGAGGCTCCCCATGGGGACAGACAGGTTACACCTCTGTTATTCCAAAAATAGGAGGCAGGAAGGGCCTGGAGCTCAAAGCCCTGACAGTCCTGCTTTGGGCCTGTCTATCTTTCTTTCTTCCAGAACAGGGCCACGGGCCTGCCGGCCTCTGAGCTGCCTTTGCCCCCGAGGCCTGCACCCCTTCCTAGTCCACTGCTCTCTGGGCTCTGGAGGATCTGCCTCCACAGACCAAAGCCGAGGACACTTACAACTCATGCAGCTTCTGACAGAAGTTCCAGCCATCGCGGTGGATGCGCGAGATGGAGTTGTGGCCGAGGTGCAGCTGGTGCAGGGCCGTGAGGCCGTAGAGGGAGCCGCTGTTCACTTCCACCAGGTTGTTGTGCTCGAGGTGTCTGCAATGACAGTGCCCGGGGTCAAGGGGGTCCGACCTTCACCCGACACCCGGAGTGTGCCTGGTCAGTGCTCCCATCAGACACGGCGGTCACACAGAAGGTGTAAGAGAGCACCTGGGAAGCATGGAGCCCCCCTGGTGTGCACACACGTGGCAGAGAGAAGACGGGCAGACCCCAGCGGAGGGTCTGCAGGCCAAGACATACTCAGAAAGTTTGGAAGGGCAGGGGACGTTAGCCATAAGTGAGTCAAAGTGAACCAGGCAGATGAGTGGGCAGAGGGGCTCTCGGCAAGGGCAAAGCCAGGAGAGGAACAGAGAGAGGAGGGGGAAAGGGAGGCAGCCCTTATCCTCACCCAGCTGACAAAATCCACTGTGCCAGGAGACGTGGCATTAGCTCTGGGGTCCAATGACTGTATGATTTTTTTTTCTGGTACTGGGGATTGAACCCAGGGGCGCTTAACCACTGAGCCACATCCCCAGCTCTTTTTTATTTTTTATTTATTCAGGGTCTCATTGAGTTGCTTACGGCCTCGCTAAGTTGCTGAGGCTGGCTTTGAACTCGCGATCCTCCTGCCTCAGCCTCCTGAGCCACTGGGATTACAGGTGTGTGCACCACTACTCCCGGCTCAATGACTACAAGATTTAAATCTTGATTTTGCCATTTTGATGGCTTAATGAGTCTGAACACCTGTGAAATAGAAATATCCAGAAGAATCCACCTCACGGCGTTGTACGGGGAGGGAAAAGGGAATGTACCTTGGGGTTGTAGGCAGTGTCAGGACCTGGTCCCAACAAGCTCATTAAGTATGTACAGTAGGTCCCTGACTTACAGTATTCCAACTTGTAATGTCCCCACTCTATGACTAGCGCACATTCTTCAGACACTCCGCTTGGAATTCTGAATCTAGATCTTTGCTACCTGGTACAATCCTTTCTCAATGCTGGGAGTGGCAGCGAGACGGCTCCCCGTCAGCCCTGTGGTCACCAGAGGAAACAACTGACACTCCATCATGTGTCATCTGCCAAGCTAGGACACCCTGGGTACTAGGTATTAAGTGTATTTTCAATTTATGACATCCTCAGCTCACAGTGGGCTTCTCGGGATGTGACCCCATCGAATGAAAAGTATCCGTGTGCCATTCCCTCACTTCTCAGAATCCTCGCCAATGACAGCTCCGCCCAGACAACTGGTTTCTCTCTTGGAAGTTACCAATGCACATTTTGCCTTTTTTTTTTTGGTACCAGGGATTGAACCCAGGGGTGCTTAACCACCCACTGAGCCACATCCCCAGCCCTTTTTTATTTTTGATTTAAAGACAAGGTCTCGCTGAGTTGCTTAGGACCTTGATAAGTTGCTGAGGCTGGCCTCAAACTTACAATCCTCCTGCCTCAGCCTCCCGAGCCACTGGGATTACAGGCCCTAATTTGTATAAATTCGTTCCACGTAAAAACGAAATGGTAGCGCCTCACACTGTTTTCTTCTGAAAATTCTCTTCATCTCAGACCACCATCAACTTAGAACTTCAGATTCTAAATGACAGGCCTGAGGAAGGAAGAGTGTTCTGGAATATGCACCACAGAGCTCCAGCCCAGCTGAAGTGGCAAAGGAGGAGAAGCCACCGGCATCCTGGTCATGCAAAGCAGAGATGTTTCTGCACAGCACACTGTGGGGCCTGGGCCTAGGCTTCTGGGCTTGGTTTCAGTTATAAAGATGAGTGAAAGAAGTGGGTAAAGATACTGGTGCAGGTGTGCCAACTTGGAAGTAACCACCCAAACCTGAAAACAGGAGAACCAAGAGGAAATGCTGAGACCCAGCTGTCTCCTGGGAGAAGAACCGGGATGGGGAGGGAGGGGGAGGGGACGGCGATGGGTGGGCAGCAGCTGCTTTCCTTTACTATCCGATTCATTCACGCAGAGGCATTACCTCTGATGAAAAATAAACAAATTTAAATGTCGAACGACAGCAGATTGCATTCCTCTGCTTTTTTTTGATGTGGCCTTTGTTTCTGGCAGGCCTCGGCTCCGCTATTGGACACATCTGGCCGAAGAGCACGTTCCCTTGATAAAAGCTGCACATCTGTACCAAGTGCCTTGATGAGCTCAAGGCAGAAATAAATCTCCTGCGATGAACTATACATTCTGGGTCCACCTGCACATCAAGGAAGACGGTCAAACCCAAAATGGGGAGGGAAGGAGCTTCCTGTGGGGTGTGGGAGTGCAGAGGATGTGGGGAAGGATCTGTTCCGCTGCGAGGAAGTGGGGGTGGGAGGAGGCCCAGGAACGGGGCTCCTTCCTGCACCCCCTGACCTGATTCACAGAACCTCCTCCAAGAGATGCTCCTACTCTGCTACGGAAACACGAACGGATCTGGTTGAGTCTGCAGAGACACGGAGTTGGGACCACAGGAAGGCTCAAAGGACAGGTGGCCTGCCGGGTGCGGTGGCGCAGGCCTGTCATCGAGGCAGCTCGGGAGGCTGAGGCAGGAGGATCGCGAGTTCAAAGCCAGCCTCAGCAAAAGTTAGACGCTCAGCAACTCAGTGAGACCCTGTCTCTAAATAAAATACAACACAGAGCTGGGGATGGGGCTCAGGGGTCGAGTGCCTCCCCAAGTTCAATCCCTGGTACCAAAAGAAAAAAAAAAGAAAGAAAAAGGATAGGCGGCCTGCTCTCCACCTAGGGCTCAGCTGAATGGACACACACAGGCTGCCCCACTCCCCACAGAGGCAGGGTGCAGAGGCCACGGCCTCACCCTTGGGCTGGAGCCCCGCCAGGGCCCGCCCTCACTTACAGCGCGTGCATATTGGACAGCCCCCAGAAAGCGCCATCCGTCAGCTTGCTGATGTTGTTTCTCTGGAGCCTCAGCACCTCCAAGCTGTCCAGGCCCTGGAACGTGAGGCCCTCGATCAACCGAATCCGATTCCGATTAAGGTCCCTGAAGAAAAGAAGCCCACGGGCTCAGAGCCTCCCTGTGCACATTCCACACACACACACACACACACACACACACACACACACGCCCCTGCCGAGTTCCCCAGCCAGCGAGCCAGCGGGTATCGAATGGCAAGAACACTTGCAGTCAGGGCACCTGACGGGATCTCCATGTATGGGGCAGCGTGGGCAAGAGTGGCGGGGGGACACCCCATGAAGCACACACATTCAGCTGCTGGCTCTAGCACTAGAGAGCCTTGGGAGAACCGAAAGGACTCTGGGTAGCCTGGAGGGGCAGGGAACGACACACGGAGCTCATCGGAAAGCCCTGGTTTCCCCCAAGTATTTCTGCAGCATCTCGTGACCCAGTCTCCTCAGCATCATGGAGACCTTCTCCGCAGACAGCCCAGGATCCACACCCCGCTGAGCCTCAACAACTGTTCTCGTCAATGTAAACCAAATTTCCACTACTGGCTTGTTTCCCTGATATTTACTTTTCCAATAATAAAAAGAAGTAGAAAACCAATCAATCAATCAATCAATAAAGAGCCAGGCATGGTGGCACAGGGCTATAATCCCAGTGGCGTGGGAGGATCGTGAGTTCAAAGCCAGCCTCAGCAACTCAGCGAGGTCCTAAGCAACTCAGTGAGACTCTGTCTCTAAATAAAATACAAAATAGGGCTGGGGATGTGGCTCAGTGGTCGAGTGCCTCTGAGTTCAATCCCCGGTACCAAAAAAAAAAAAACAAGAGACAATCATAAATCAACCACCTTGTAAGATTTAGGAGATAAAGATTGCCATCTCCTGCTTACCGCCTCTAGCCATGCTAACTTCCTGCCAAATTCAAGAAATGTCGAGGATGCCATCAAGCACAAGGTGCATATTTTACGGGTACCTTTAATAACAACACTAAAACCTCTGAGATAAATAAACAGAATGCACGCTGCCCAAGCACTAGCCACGCCAGCTAACCAGCAGGATTCCTCATGTCATAGGGGAGGACACCAGCATGAACCCGCACATTCATACTCAGTGGACCTCATCCCTGCAAGATGAGGTGGCCCACCGGCCCCAGACCCAGCTCCAATCTGCTTTTACTAGGTGTTGCCATAGGGGCATTAATTACGGTTCGTGCAGAACTTTACTGGGGGGAGTAGGGGTTGCATTTGGTGCTAGGTCCTTGGGGAAGTTTGACCCCCATAAAATTGGGCTATAACCTTAATTAAAGTACCGGTTTCTGAACTCACAATTGTGTCAGCCTGGGTAACTTGAATGCTTTTACAGGAAGCTGGGTGATCCTGTTTTTGCTCAGGCGAAGAGTCAGCAGCGACCGTGACAGGCCATCGAATGCTCCCGACTCCAGGGTGCCGATGCGATTGCTGGCCAGGTTGCTGGAACGAGTCAGGAGAGAAAATGTCACAGCCGTAGGAGGCCTTCCTCGTGCTGTTACAGACACCAGACCCAGCTGGATCCGAGCTGGGAAAACACGCTAAGACACACCCAGAGGGACAGGCTTCCTGAGGAGACGTCTGTCACCACGAGGCTTCAGAGCCTGCCCTGACTCCCGGATGGGGAAGCACTGCAGGTGGCAGGACTGCCCAAGGTCACACGGCAGTCCTGTGCACACAGCACCCATGGCTAGTGGGCCCAAGAGGGCGGGAGGGACCAGCAGACACCTCCACCCCCAGCCCTCCTGCAAACCTGCCAACCTCGGGCCACAACTGGCCCGCCCACGGGAAAAGCCCTACACAAAGCACAAACCAGAGGCCAGGTCAGATTCCATTCCACGATTTGGGGAAACAGTCTTTAATCCTGAAGTGGGTCTCATTTTGGGACTTACATAATAAGTGTGTACAAGGCAATTCCTTTAAATGATTTTAAATACCTGAAAGAAACCCTCTAGTTAAAGAGACCTGAGCCAAGCTCTTTAGAAAGCTAGCCATACCACGCCTGTTATCCCAGTGGCTTGGGAGGCTGAGGCAGGAAGATCACAAGTTCAAAGCCAGCCTCAGCAAAAGCGAGACCCTAAGCAACTCAGTAAGACTCTGTTTCTAAATAAAGTACAGAATAGGGCTGGGGATGGGGCTCAGTGGTTGAGCACCCCTGAGTTCAATCCCCGGTACCCCCGCCCCCACCAAAAAAAGACACGCAATACTTTTTCAGGGCCATCTCCTTTGACCGTACCGAGCGGATGGACTGCAGTGTACAACACAGATACATGTGTCACACTGTGTGCAAAGCATAGCAAGCAGTGGAAAAGAAAAGGGAAAAAATAAAAGGAATAAAATAAATCAGTATTCCTATGAGAAGTTACCCCTCAATACCCTTCTTACTGCTTTTCCTAGACAAAAGATTGGTGTGTGTGTGTGTGTGTGTGTGTGTGTGTGTGTGTTTTTAAACAAAACAAAACAACAAAAACACAAAAAGAACAGCGCCTAAGTGAAAAGGAGAAAACCCAGAGAACCTTCTGCCCTGGGGGGAGGAACAAGGCTCCTCTGGATTCTTTACCAGGCAGAGCCCCAGCACAGGGCACATGAGGATTCTCTACAACGGGGCCGGACTGTTTGTTCTCGACACTCCAGATTAGAGAAGAACAGCCTCTGGGATGAAGATAGAGCAGCCACAAGCTGCCAAAAGAGAAAGTCCCTCCTGCTTTCTTGCAGCGACAGAAGGTCAGTGCAATTCTGTTTAGCGGCTGGTGGTTTCTTGGTTCTGAGCAAGGGAGTGTCGGGCGGCAGCTGGACACCTCGGGACAGCCTCCACTCGAGGCTTAACAAAGGCCAAGGCCTCCTGTTCCCGATTTTGGCACCTTGATGCAGCCTGAGAATGACCTGGAAGATCTAGGGGCCAAGGTTCATCTTCCCTGAAGAGATGGGTCATGACCACCTCTAAACCGGCCTGGCAAATGAGCTCCAAAATGACCCCGAAACAGTGAATGCACAGGGAACGGAAACTCACTCAGAATTGGAAAATGTCGCTTTGGCCTAGGTTTTCAGATCCTTCCCCAGAGTGACCCTCTCCTACCCACAGGCCATGGGTGCTGCAGGTTTTATCATTTTTACTCCTGTCTACCATCCACACCGCATGTAAGATGAGGCACGAACACGGGTGAGAGACCCATCAGCACAGTCCCGAGAACCCACAGAACCAGGAGCCGCCTTCCCAGACAGATCCCGTGAGCTGTGTGATCACTATGGGACACTAGGAAGGAACAGCCTGGAGAGTCTGCAAAGCGCTCTCTCTGCAGAGTGGGCCTCTAAGCTCCCCTGAGCCTTCCCTCCAAGCTCTGCTGGGAAGCAGCCCAGTAAAGGGGAGTAAGAGCAGGCTTTGTGGTCAGGGCAGACCTCAGAGTCTTGAACTCTTCTGTCTGAGGGGTGAGCTCCCTGGACAGGCGGATCCACCTCTCCCTGACTCAGGTGTCCACCTTGGGTGTAACTAGAAATGTTCCATCAGTGGGCATCAGAGGGGCTCCTATCCCTGCCTTGCACCATCCTCAGGGCTGAAAAGTTATTATGGTGTGGATGTGAGGTGTCCCCCAAAGGCTCACGTGTGAGACGGTGCAGGAAGGTCCAGAGGAGACATGACTGGGTTGTGAGAGCCTTAACCCACCAGTGAATGGACCCCTGATGGGATTAACTGGGTGGTGGCTGGAGGCAGGTGGGTGTGGCTAGAGGAGGGGGCATTGGGGGCGAGGCTTTGGGGTCTCTATTTGTCTCTGGAGAGTGGAGTCTCTCTCTGCTTCCTGATCACCATGTGAGCTGCTTCCCTCCACCACACTCTTCCTCCATGATGTCCTGCCTCCCCTCGAGCCCCGAGGAATGGAGCCTGCTGTCTATGGACTGAGACCTCGGAAACTGTCAGCCCCCAATTAAACTTTTCCTCCTCTACAGTTGTGCTGCTCGGGTCTTTTTAGTCACACAGTAGTGAAAAGGCTGACCAAAGCAGAAGTGGAATATGCAGCCTGTGTACAGACCTGGGCAACGGAGAGGCCTCCAGCTGCCCTAGAAGCAGAGGGACAGCCCCGACCACAGAAGCACTTACAGCTCTCGTATGTGCAGTCCAGGGGGAAAGCAGGCGCTCCGGATTTCCGTGATATTATTCGAACTCAGATCCAATACTTCCAAGGAAAGGTAGGCCTTCAGCTGGCTCCCGTTCACGCTGCGGATCCTGTTGTGCTGCCTGAAACACACAAGTGGAGGTGACTCAGGCATTTCTTTTTGCAGAGTAACTACAAGAGCCAGGCGTAGTGGTGGACGCCTATAATCCCAGGGACTCAGGAGGCTGAGGCAGGAGGATCAGGAGTTCAAAGCCAGCCTCAGCAACTTAGGGAGGCCCTAAGCAACTCAGTGAGACCCTGTCTCTAAATCAAATACAAAAAAGTATAAGAATTCTCTTTCCTATTTTACTAGTTGTTTTGCTCTTTCATAACATGACAGTTTAGTGACACTCGAAATGAGCTTTCCTGTTGTTCTTCCCATCCATGATCAGCTGCTGGCTTCAGAGAGTATGCTGGATTTTCTCATATGGGACAAGCTATTTGCAAAGGTATGGGGCAAGAACACAGAGGGTGATCTTTAAGTACCCAAGCATGGCATGACCTGCATCCACCTATATACCCACCATAAAGGATGTACCAGTACAACTGGGCAGCTCCAGACCAATACCCTTCTGCAATCTTCAGGACCCAGTCCACTGCCGATTTATAAGGCTTGTAGGCACAAGCCCAGATTTAGTCATATGGCTGTGTCCAGTATTGGGGATTAAATCCTAGGCCTCATGCATGCTAGGAAAGTGCTCCACCACTGAGCCACATCCTCAGCCCTTCACAAATCACTACTGACACCTCCCATGTGCCAGGCATGGAGACATACAGGAGATGAAACAAACACACACACACACACACACACACACACACACACAGATAAAATCCTGGTAATCCCCATACATTGCTGGTGGGACTGCAAATTGGTGCAACCACTCTGGAAAGCAGTAGAGAGATTCCTCAGAAAACTAGGAATGGATCCACCATTTAACCCAGTTACCCCACTCCTTAGCATAACACCCAAAGGACTTAAAATCAGCACACTACAGTGTGACACAGTCACATCAATGTTTATAGCAGCTCGATTCGCAAAAGTCCAGCTATGGAACCAGCCCAGATGCCCTTCAACAGATGAATGGATAATGATACTGTGTTATATATACACAATGAAATATTACTCAGCCTTAAAGAAGAATGAAATGATGGCATTTGCTGGTAAATGGGTGGAACTGGAGACTATCATCCTAAGTGAATGAAACACGCCAATTCCAAAAAAACAAAGGCTGAATGTCCTTTCTAATATGCAGATGCTAATTCAAAACGGGGGATAGGTAGAGAAGAATAGAGGTACATTGGATTAGGCAGAGGGGAGCAAAGGGAAGGGAGGGTGTTTGGGGGGTAGGAAGGATAGTACAAGGATTGGGACATTATCACCCTGTGTGCACACATAATTACATGACTGGTGTGATTCCACATCACGTACAACCAGAAAAAGTTATACTCCATTTATGTTGGATATTTCAAAATACATTCTACTGTCATGTATAACTAATTAGAACAAATTTAAAAGAATAAAATCCTGGCGCTCGGCAAAGGGAGAGAGGAGCTCACTGCTGGGTCTCACTGGAATCAAATCCCCTGCAGCTCTAATGGCGTTGTTCCTCAGTTTCCTCATCTAAATGACGGAGCCGCAGCCTGTCATTTCTGGAATACGGGCAACCCGACTTAAAACCATGCTGAAGGGATAGCGGACACTAAGGAAAGTGCTCCGAGGGTGTCCTGCCCGCTTAGGAAGGCACCGTCCACTATGACTTATTTGCATCTTTAACCCTCGAGGCCTCTGGCAAACCCCAAATCTAACCAAGGGACCAGCAGTCATCAATCAGGACAAAGGTGACTAATGCTAAGCGAGGTGGGGCCATGGGCCTGTTGTGAACGTGGCTCTCCCTCGCAGATTCAAACTGGGACAGGAGATGCGTGAGAATCCGCTCGGTTGCCAGGCGCAGTGGCACACGCCTGTCATCCCAGAGGCTCCGAAGGCTGAGGCAGGAGGATTGCGAGTTCAAAGCCAGCCTCAGCAACTTAGTGAGGCCCTAAGCAACTCAGTGAGACCCTGTCTCTAAATAAAATACAAACTAGGGCTGGGGATGCGGCTCAGTGGTCGAGTGCCCCTGAGTTCAGTCTCTGGTACCCCCCCCTCCTCTCCCCACCTTAAAAAAGAATCTGCAGGGTGGCAGTGCTCTCCTGAGGGTTCCAAGCACACACTCCTGCCAGGTTGAGAAAAGAGGGGCAGCTGTCCAGCCGATCGGAGCCAGGAAGCTAGCCGTCGCTTACCCAGTGGCATCTCCTTTAAACCAACCCTTGAACATTGGTTCCAACAAGGCAGGAACGAGGACCTCTTTCCCAGAAGTTTGGGGGCCTCCCTCAGCTCCTTTTGTTGTTGGTGGTGTTGGTTTTTCTTTTCACAAGTCTCCCAGGCCCTAAATTCAAAACTCGATTTACAAGGGCCCAACTCTGCTGACAGGGGGAGCCTCCTTCCAATGAAAGGACCCTTCCCTCCACCTCCCCTCCTCACCCACCCCCCCACCAAGCTACTTCCTTTGAGATCTGTATTCAGCTCTTTAATAAACATAGTCTCTTACAGTTTTTCAGACTCCCAAAGTAAAAGAACAGAAAACCTTTATTATGCAAAGTATGGGAAGAAAAAAGATCAAGAAATAAAGGAGACAGTACTGTGCCTCATCCGGGAACTCTGGAGACCGTGCCAGGGAGCCAGGAAAGAGGGGGTTTGGAAACAGAAGGGACGTCCTGGGGCCCAAAGCTGGACAAAGGGGTCCGTCCCCTGGGGGGGAGCCCTCAGGACAGCTGACCCCTCTCTCTGCTCCCCCACACCCCCTCCTCTGTCTTACTTGGTCTTTGTCTTGGGCCTCTTCCTTCTTTCTTGTCAGTCTGTCTCTTCACATTCTCCCCCCCAAAAAAGGACCCTGTGAGGACGACAAGTCTCTGGCACCCTGGGAAAGTTCCCACTGAGCAGAAGAGGCAGCCATGGAGACTGGACCACGGCAGCCTGGGAGGGAGGGAACGCACTTCATTCTGCCTGGGAGAAGTTGCCAGGGCTAGTGCCCGAGCCAGGACGCTAGGGCTGGGAGGCCAGGAGCTTGGCGCAGGGGACAGAGCTGGCAGGGCCACCCCAGGGAACGGCTCCCCCGGGCCAGGCCAAGGAGCTGGGAATCGGGCTCCCGGCGGACCAGGTGGGAGGGGTGGCGATTCAGAGGCAGGCACAAGAGAATGGTAAGGGGGGGTCCCTCCCGGGAGTCGGAGACGACATCATCAAATGGGAAGAGGGGCCCCTGGGCAGGCTACCGGCCACACCTTCCAGCCCCACCCACCGGCAGCCACAGAGGGGGCCCGGGGACATTTGTAAATCAGGTACCTGGCAAAGGGGCTACTACCCAGATTACAGTCAGCACCCCCACCCACCCCCACCCCACATTCCCACAGCTTCCACATCTGCACGTTCCACTAACTGGAGTGGAAAATACAAAAGAAACTGTGTCTGGAGTGAAGGTGTACGGACTTTTCCCCTGTCCCTGTCTCTAAATGGCACGGTATAGTTATCTACACAGCATTGATTTACACTGCATGAGATATTTTAAAATTCTGGAGATGATTTAAAGCACTGATCATATGACACTATTGCATTACTTTGTACAAGGGACTTGAGGCTCCGTGGATTGGGTATTTTTTTTGGGGGGGTGGGGACCTGCATGACTGTATATATAGAATCCCTAGAACTGACAGCAACAGAGAACAAACGTCCTGATCAAAACATGGGCAAAGCGGGCCCAGGGCTGGGGCTCAGTGGTACAGCTCTTGCCTGGCATGTGTGAGGCACTGGGTTCGATCCTGAGCACCACATAAAAATAAATAAATTTTTTAAAATTGGCAAAGGACTTTATAGACATTTCTCCAAAGAGAATCAAGTAGCCAACAACCCCATGCAACCATGTTTGAAGTCAGCCTTCACAAGTGAAATGCAAAACAAAACCCTGATTAAATATCCGCTCACACCCATCAGTGTGGCCCCTATCAAATTAAAAAAGAAAAAAAAAAAAGTTAAGCATGGGTGAGGATTTGGAGCAGCCAAAACTTTATGGGAATGTGAAATGATGTGAAATGATGTAAAGCTGAAGAAAATGGTTTGCTGACTCCTCAAAACATTAGACACAAAGCCGGGAGTGGTGGCACACGACTGTCACCCCAGTGGCTCAGGAGGCCGAGGCAGGAGGATCGCAAGTTCAGGGCCAGCCTCAGCAACTTAGTGAGACCCTAAGCATCTTATGGAGACCGTGTCTCAAAATTTAAAGAAAGAGGGCAGGGAATGTGGCTCAGTGGTTAAGCACCTCAGGGTTCAATCCCAGGCATCAAAAGAAAAAATAAATACTACTACTATTCGCTCCCACTTATGAGTGGCATCTAGAGTAGTAAAATTCATCAAAACAAAAAGTAAAAAGACGGTTGCCGGGGACTCAGGAAAGACGTCTTGTTTGATGGACAGGGAGTTTACTTTTGCAAGATGGGAAAAAGTTTTAGAGATGGGTTGCACACATGAGTGCACTTAACACTACTGAACCCCACACTTAAGTTTTATGATATGTGTACTTTACCACAATTTTAAAACAAAACAAAATGCCGAGCCAGTTCACAAGACTCCTCTGCCTAAAACAAGGGATGATGTTCACGTCTGCCTTAGGAGTGTGGCCTTAGGATGTCCTTCAGGGCCCACATTACCTTCCACGCACCTGCCTGACCTCTTGCCCCTCCACCTCACACACTCTGCCCCACACTGGCTCCCGGATGCGTCATGCCTCAGGTCCTTTGCACGGCCGTTCCCACTGCTTGGAATGTGCTTTCCCCAGAGATCCACATCCCTCCCCACCCTCATCTCCTTCCCATCTGTGTTCCAAAGTCATCTTTTCAACAAGATCTTCCCTGGCCATCCGAAAACCTCTTCCCGGCATTATTTCTCTCAGTGGCCCTAATTTTCATCTAATATACTTAGAAATTGCCTATTTCCAGTTTCACATCTTCTCTCCCACCGAGATGTGGCTCCAGGGAGGCAGAGGTGCGT